AGCCAAGCCCCGCTACAGGTTGTCATCCCTCTGCCCACCATGTCTTTGAATGTGTTCTAACGTGTGTGGGGTGTGCATTTAGCATTAAGACAGAGGGAAATATTATTCCTTCCTTCCTGGTGAGATAAAGTTTTGGGATCAGAATAAAATGAAAATCGGTGCACCATTGCTTAATATGTTACCTTTCAATTTCTTGTAAGAAAACGGATAAGAGATGTATCTCTAGTCTGAGATACATTCTCTTCCCACTTGCAGGGGAAAACAAGAATTTGCTTGAAGCAGACACACAGCATTGCTTTGATGTGCTGAAAATGGTGGGGTGCAAACACTGTAAATGAAGAGCTCAGCCCTGAAGCAGTTAGGGATTGCATTTGACTGCTAGTCATAGCACAACCCAGTTCAGGGTGGCATACTCAAATTGGGTTTCAGTTTTCTCACAACAGGAGTTCAGGCTGGTGTAGTAGCTCTATGGTGCCAATCAGGATCCCAGGCTCTTAGTTTCCACACAGGTTTTAGCAGGTGGCTTTCATTCTCATTTTCGTTGCCTTGCTCTCCAGCAGAGTCTAAATTCCAGGCAGGAGGCAGGGGAGGGTTGGCTAAGCCAGCTAGTGTACTCCTATTAAAGACTTCATGATGTCTGCGCACATCTTATTGGCCAGATCTATGTTACATGATCGCCCTCAGTCCAAGGGAGGTTGGGAAATGTCCGTTTTTTGCCAGGCATATTGCTGCTTTGAAAAAATTGGGACAAGGAAGGAGGAGGGGATAGATGTTGGGAGTCAACGCGTTTGTGTTTGAAGGCGCACTATGTGCCAGGCGCGTGCTGTGCTTCTTCTGTGTGCTGTCTCCTTAATCCACCCAATAACCCAGGGAGGCGGGAGCTGCTGTCCTCATTGTGCACATGAGGAACCTGGAACCAGAGAGGTTAGGGACTTGTTCAGGGGTGTCCAGCGTTTATTGGGGTGAAGCAGAACTTGCATCCAGGTCTGACTGGCTGTAACTCCGATGCCCTCTGGGTTTGTTGGGCTCTCGAAGTGGCCCAAATGGTCACCGAATGTTGGGAATTCTGTGTTTTGAACAGTAGCTGATTCCAGGTGCTTCCAGGGACAGTCATGACCTGCACATCTGTGCCCTGCATGGCCAGCTTCTCTGAGCAACACAGCCATTGACAGCCAGGGCGTGCTTCTCTCTTGCCCATCAGTGTGCTAAATCGAGCATTGTGAATCTGTTTTGTGACAGATCTTCTGATTTGAGAGTTTGTGTGTTAAATTGTTGGAATGCAGGAAACAGGGAGAAAACCAAAAAACATGTTTGCCTTATAGCCTGTAACTTAGTAAATTCAGTGTTGAAGTCAGATAAGGTAGGAAGGACTACCTTCTCTTTCTCACCTGTAGCTAGAGTCTGAACATTTGGGTGCAAAGACATATTCTGGACGTCTCAGCAGCTACAGGACTAGAAGTTGTTTATAACCCCAAGTCTTAGGGCCCAGAAAGCTGCCAGAATGCAATTCTTTTAACTGCCCTCTAAAGCAATGGTGTCCAGCCTGTGGACCGCATGCGGCCAAAGATGACTATAAATGCAGCTCAACACAAAATCATAAATTTACTTAAAACCCTTTTTTTGCTCATCAGTTTTCATTAGTGTTTGTGTATTTAATGTGTGGCCCAAGACAGCTCTTCTTCTTCCTGTGTAGCCCACAGATGCCAAAAACTTGGACACCCCTGCAAAGGTTTGTTTTGCAGGAAATGCTGGTGTTAATCTGAAGAAAAGGGTTTGTCATTCCCTATCAAATTTATTTTCAGAAGGTACTGGCATATGCAAGGGCGTGTCCCCTCTACGTACACACCCAGTAAGGACTAAGGTGCATAGCCGTAAGTTAGCTCCGAGGTTGGAAAGGCCTGGCACGTGCCATGATTCGGAGTCAGTTGATGAGCACTTTATAAATGTTCCCATGATTAAATTGGGCGTTAGGATCATCTGGCTTTGATGGCGGCAGCGATTTTCTTCACCACTTTCCATGCCCCCCAGTGTCCATCCCAGTGGGGATATGCAGGTGCTCAGCAAATTCTTGGCAGTTGATTAGGAAAGAACGAAGAACCCACATGACATTTGGTTGCGCTGAGACATCGAACCATGGTCCTTGGGTCCTGGTGTTGGGGCCCCCTGGAGAAGGGGCCCTTTTCCCTTCAGTTCTAATGTCATGCATGTGGGTGGCACACTTGGTTCACAATCTAGCTTCTGTGACAAAGTGCTGTTTGTCTTTGGGATGTGAATAACCAGGAGGCGCAGTTCCTTAGGCCTCACATGTGGAGTAACCAGGTGACACAGCTTCTTGGCAGGGTGTGACCCAGAGGGCAGCCAGAGCTTTAATCTTCTAGGCGGCGGCCTTAACACGTCCTCCGAGGGTGGTTTCCCAAATGTGAGAAAGAATAAGGAAGGCAAAGGCCAGCTTAGGCAACTTGAAGGCTGCTGGTTGGGGTTACATGACATGGTTATGGAGGACTGAAGGAAGAAAGGAAGGATGGTTAAAACCTACAGTGCATGAGCCCTGGCTGGCGTAGCTCAGTGGATTGAGCATGGGCTGCGAACCAAAGCATCGCAGGTTCGATTCCCAGTCAGGGCACATGCCTGGGTTGCAGGCCACGGCCCCCAGCAACCGCACATTGATGTTTCTCTCTCTCTCTCTCTCTCTCTCTCTCTCTTTCTCCCTCCCTTCCCTTTCTAAAAATAAATAAATAAAATCTTTTAAAAAATTAAAAGTAAAAAAATTAAACCCCCCCCAAAAAAATAAAAACAAAAAAACCCCTACAGTGCATGCATTGTGGAACAGAGCTGTCCCTTTATAAACTTAGAGTGAGAATAGCTTTTCTCAAAGTGTAGAACCCTGAATATTTCCTATATGTTCCTACTGCTGGAGGTTATAGACCCACTGAACATCAGGAATGGCAGGGCCCACAGAGATTACCATCTAAATATGTTGTTATAAAATGATTTGTAATAGATTTTTTTTTTTACTATAAGTAACAAAGACCAAACTCAAACCAGCTTAAATGAGAAAGGATTTATTGGTTCACAACCAAAAAGTCTGAGGATGTGTCTAGTTTAGGTATGGCTACATCTAGGAGCTCAGGCCAGTGTTTAGGATTCGGTTCCTCTCTGTCTGCTTTCCTTGGTGTTAGTTTTATTTTTGAATAGCTGCTCTCAATGTAGTGTAGCAGCTCAAGACCAGCTCCAACCAGTGTCCCAGGACTAACTCTGATTGGCTTGGATTAGATCATGTGTCAGCCCCTCAACCAATCACTGAGACTTTGAGGAGAGTCAGCAGCACCCAAACCACATGGACTGAGAGTGGGGGAGGGTGATCCCCACACAAAAATGGAAATGTTTATACCAGAAGGCATAGGAGGTGGGGGCAAAGATGTCCCCTAGTGATGGATAAAAGGAGGTCCAAAGTTTGTTATTGCTGTTGTTTCTCACAAAGCTTTGGGTTTTTATGGAAGGGTCATGAGCACATGAACAGTGAGATGAGTGATTGCTTTTCTGTTTTCTATGTCCAAGCTAAGGCCAGCAGTCAGGCCTGGACATAGTAAAAAGCAGACTGCATGTTAGGGGTTGCATTTTCACTTTCTAGTAACATTTTTACTTAGTTTTGGCTCCCAGACTGGACTAGTTCTACCCTGGTGGCTGAGGTTCTAAGGTTGTTGCAAGGACACCTGGGGTCTGGCCACCTAGATATAAATGCAGCGGCATTTCCATCGCATGCTTTCATGTTGGAATGGAGAACTCTCTGGCTTGGTCTTTTGAGGTGTGATGGATCTCAAGACCAGGACCTTTCTGCCCAGGAGTGCAAGTAGACTGGCAGCCCCATCCAAGGATCCCTGGTAATTTGTCTGGTCCTTCTGGGTTGAAGTATATTCCATTCATCTGCCTCCCCAGTTTAAACTCTGCAAAGCTTGTGGAGCCACTGTTATGTCCCTGGTACCAGGAAGTGGGGATGCAGACGTACCTAGTACCCAGCTCTAAGGAGGTGGAGAAAGGCAGCTTACAGTGGGAGACGGGCCATGAAAGAGGACTGCTTCTCTGTGCCCCAGAAGCCCTTCGCACGCTGACCTACCACCCCTGCCACCCCCTCTCCTTTACAGTTTCTGGGTTGGCAGGTATGTAGGCCGTGGGCATGCATATGGACAGGCAGTAGAGAGCAGTGGCTAAAACACACAGGCTCTGTGGTCTGCCTGGGATTGAGCCGGCTCCACTCTTTCCTAGATCTGTGATCTTGGGCAAATCATTTATTTTCTCTGGGCTTGCAGAGAATTGTTGTTAGGTCATTGTTTTTGTGGGTTCTTGTTTGAACAGTTTCCTGATGAGATAAGTGATCATATAAAGAGGTTGCTGTGCCTGTTCTCTACTCACTGTCTTGGAGGAACCTTAATGATGCTGCCATTGTACTTGGGGCTGTGTTAGCAGCCAGTGGGAGAGACCCTGGGCTCAGGAGCCTTCTATCCAGGCTGGACTGCCCCAGACAGATGGAGAGAGAGCAACAGGGAAAGGCATGAGAGTATCACGTGCATCACTTATTCATTCAGTAGTATTTACAGAGCACCTATTCCACACCAGTCTTTGTGCATATGTTCTGGGCATATGATGCTGGGCAAGATGGTGCCTCTTACCTGATGGAATTCGTAGTCTGCTTGGGCTCTAGAGGAATAAATATGCAATTGTGATCCAGTGCAATTAGTGTGACAGTGGAGTTAGTTAAGGTTCCAATCTATACTGGGCATATGTGGCTGGGGTGGCTTCCTGGAGGAGGTGACATTTTAGTCAGATCCCAAAGGAGTAGAAGATTAAGTGGGTAGAGTGAGGGACTGGACATGAAAGATGGTCCAGGCAGAGGGAACATGCAAAGGCCTGAAGGGAGTTTAAGTGTAAAGTGTGTTCTTTGGGGGGTCTTGGCTGCCAGTTCTACTGCCTGGAATGGACTGAATATACTGCTGTCATTGCAGGGACATAGAGAAGCTGGAGCGGCAGGCAGTCCCCCAGACCAACCATGCAGAGCCCTGTCGTGAGTGTGGCCGCATAGGACCCGGACATTCAAGGGATTGTCCTCATCGCCGCCACGAGGACTCCTTTGGCTTCGAGGGGCGGGGGCAAGAGGAAGAACGGTACCGGTCCCACCCAGTGGAGGGCAAGAGGGACAGGAGCAAGTCCAGGTCCCCGTACTCGCCAGTCGAGGAGGATGCCTTGTATGTGGATTTACCTGGTGGCTCGAGAGGCCAGCAGGCACAACCCCAGCGGGCAGAGAAGAACGGCATCGCATATGGCCCAGGAGAGCAGAACGGGACTGGCACATACCAGAGGGCCTTTCCTCCCAGGACCAGCCATGAGAAGCACAGCCAGAGGAAGAGCAGCCTGGCCCAGGTGGAGCACTGGGCAAAGTCCCAGAAGGGGGATGGCAGGAGGTCAGTAATAGACTCAAGATCGCTGCTACCAATGAGCATCTTAACAAAACAATAGCAGCTGTCATTTCACCAGCCCAGGCTGGGTAATACTGGCCTTCACCTCTCTGCCTCCATTATCTCCAAAAACCCCTGTAACAGTCCTGCAAGGAGAGAGGGATAGTTCCAACTTGTAGAGAAACTGAGGCTGGGAGAAGGGAAGGAACCTGCCCGGGGCGCACGGATAAGTGGCCAAGCCAGAGGTCAGACCCGGGTCCGGGAGCCTCCCAAGCCCACACGAGACAACATGAGGAGGCTTCTTTGTTCCCCAGGGAGCACGCTTTGCGATCGTAGCTCCTCTTCTCCATTTACACGGCTCCTTCTCTGCATCCGGGGGGGATACTGGTGGAAACTAGGGAAGTACAGGCCCATTTTTGAGTCCAGGCACACAGAGTAGTGCTTAGGTGCTGCTGACATTAGGCTTTATCGTGACCACCCCTTCAAGTCATTGTTAGTTATGTAGAGAGCACGTATTCTTGCAGTTTGCAAAGCACTGTCTGTATTTTATTATAATTTTAGGTGAATCAGGACACTTATGAACATGAAGAATTCAGGGCCATCCAGCTGCCACTGTCCCCAGAAGCCACTGTTCTGTCTTCACTGTGAAGACAGCACACCCCCCTCAGCATCGTCAGGCTTGTAAAACTAACCGCTGACTGCAGAGGTGATAGCAAAGGCCACGGGCGTTCAGAAGGCTCCCCACGGGCTGGAAGGGCCACAGAGGAAGTGCCGGCACTCAGACCTAGTCTGCCACAGGCCTGATAAACTGTGCTCAAGGGCCACACTTCATTCTCCCTGCTCGTGCTGGGAGCTCCAGACTTTCTCCCTGTGGGCTCTGGAGGCAGGAGCACCCCTGGGGGAATAGCCTGGGCCTGTTTTCCAGTGTGTGGGCACAGTGTGTACACGTGGTCGTGTAACCTCTGTAATCTGGTCCAGCTGGGCAGCTGGGTGGGTAGATGGTGGAGAAATCACAGTGGAACTCCATGAGCAATCGGTGGGCATCGCTGAGGGACAGGCCAGGGGAAGGAAGGCCTTGCATGTTGTAGCTAAGATGACTTCCCATTCTCACGTGGGACTGGCCAGGTGTCACGTCTGTTTGTTCACCTTTGTGTCTTAGTGAAAACGGAAGCTAGTGCTCAAGGATGCAGTGGGGGTGGGGGGGGTGGAGTTTGGAGGAAGCTGCTATTCTTGGTGCTGAACTAGGTAGTTTTAGGTGACCTTACTGCTGCATGAGGTTGGAAAGCTGGGGTTGTATGATGCAGGTGCCCGTATTCCAATGTAAGGAATTTGGACTTTATTTGAAAAAGCAACAGGGGGAACCACAGGAAGGTTTTCAGCAGGTAAGTGATGTAGTGTGATTACGCCTAGGGAGGGGGCTATTGTAGGAGTGGAACAGTGACAATGGAAACAGAAAAAAATAGATTCGAAGTCTTACAAGCAAAGCTTGTCAATGAATTGGATGTGCTGGATTAGAGAAAGGGAGGAGCAAGGAGGATCCCTAGGATTTTTGACTTGAACAAGTGGGTAGTTCAGATATGAGGAAGGCTTAGAAACAAGTCTGGGGGGAAATCAGGCCTTCCTTGTGGACATAAAAGCTTGAGAAACCTATTAGCTACCCCAGGGAAGATGTCAGGTAGGCAGTAGGGTAGGGATTGTGATGTTGAGGTTCAAGGGCTGGTTGGACATGCTAATCAGGGGCAGTCAGCAGGTAAGTGGCACCCCAGCACTTAGAAGTTAGGGGCAGAAGAGGGGTCCTGCAGAGAAGACAGCGTGGTCAGAGAGAACACGTGGTGTAAGTCAGCCATTTCCTCTCAGGTGTAAGAACTCTCAGGAACTGAAGTCGGTATGGAGCTGGCTCGGGCAGAGCAAAGCAGGAGAAATCAGAAGTAGGGCAGACAGACAGGCAGGGCAAGGGCTTGACCCTGATGAGCCTGCATTTCCCACTGAAGAGTTTGGATTTAATTGTGAAGGTCTGTGAAAACCATTGATGTGAATGGGAAAGTATCGACATCCACTTGGAGTGGCACTATTTTTTAGAATGGTGGTGGCCGGGAAGAGGCAGGCACAGAAAGGAATTCCAAAAGCTGTGCGACTGCTCATGTCATTAGAAAGGTGTTAGTTGTGAAATGTCTCTACACCACTTTCTGGCAGCTCACAAACCTGTGTTGTTCTGCTGCACACAGTGGTCTGTGTTTCGGGTGGGGGTGCATGGGGGGCACTTCAGGGAGCTGCAGGGGGAAGGCAGTGGGCTGTCCCAGGAGGTGCGATGGGTGTTCCAGCTGTTCTCATCTAAGGGGCGGGGGACCTTAGGTCTGTGAAGGAAAGCAGTTCATTGACCTTGGAGCTTCACTGAGCGCACAGTGAGAGGAATTTCAGTCCAGTGGTAGAAGCACTTCCCAGCGGCTGAAAAGTGAAAGTGAGGACTTGAAGGCAGAGCAGGGCCTGCCCTCTGAGAAGAAAGCTGTCAGTCTCTGAGTAAGCAAAGTGCTCGTCTCTGATCGCTCGCTTGTGTCTCAAAAGGACTGTACCTTGCATTCCCAGAGCTGGGTTATTTTTTTTTCCTTAAAGATATATTTGAAATCTCTTATAGTCAAGTAATAAGTAGATCTGGCTGCTTAATAGGGGAACCTCCTCCATTTGAAAATGTAGAAGGTGGAAATCTGCTTCGTGCGTGATGAAGACTTCGCTGACCTCATTAGATGCAGCACGTTGCACACTGGAGGAGGGTTGTGTTCGAGTCTCATGTTCCGGCTCCAGACCACACAGGGATTGTTTCTGACTGTTCTTTCAGTACTGGCAGATGTGTATTCTATCTCACATCATTAACTCCTTTAGAATGATGCTTTGTGGGGGACAGACCGCTGTGCCCTTAGGATCTTAACACGTTCTAAGAGATTGTTTTGAAATTCTAGTTTCTATTCCTCCCCCCACCCCTGCCCCCGTGTTTAATGCAGAGTTGTAAAATAAACAGGCGGGGTGCAGGTGGGAGAGGGACTCAGACGTCACAGTGAGGGACAGGCAGTGAAAGTCCTGCATGACTGATGTGGAAGTTAGGGTGAGGGATATCTGTGGAATAAGTAATTGGTTATAAAATTTTGTTTTACATTTTGATGTGACTCTTTTGTTGTGGCTGTATCAGAGTGCCCTGTTTGGTTGGGAGCCTTTTGGAATAGGGAGGCCCCAGAGCCACAGAGCAGGGTATGGGGGCGAGACCTTGAGCACTCTGGGGTAAGGCTGGAGCTGGGCAGCCAGGGGACGTGCTGTCTGGAGCAAAGCTGCCCTGGGGGAGGCCAGTGCTCCTCCATTGCACTGGGGTCCTCAGGCTTGCCCCCAAAGGGCTGAGGGCTTGGGGGCACTCGCTGCCCTGAGCTCGACTCTGACCGTGGAACGCCACAGGCAGGTGCCAGTGGGCTGCAGAGCCAGGCTGAGGGGGAGGGGGTTCGGGAACACAGGCAGGACATGTTTTGCATGGCTTGCATTTTGCTTCAGGCAGATTGAACAACTGTTAATAAAGTTGTAAGCTCCCCAGGGGAGCTCCCCACCCCCCCACAACGTGCTACTGAGACGAGGTGCCCTGTGACTCTGGGAAATCAGCAGCAAACCCTGCCACCTAGTGGCAAGGGAACAAACTAGACAGACACACTAGACGAGCCTGGGTTGAAGAGATCCCAATGTTATGTCTTGTAGTCGAAGAGGTAATGATAACAAGGGAGATGAAAGCTGCTGTTTTTAAATGGCAACTATTTCTATCCCCACAACAGTCTATTAAGTGTCTCTTAGTGTCCTCATTTTCTGGTGAGGAAAGTAGGGGCATAAATGACACCCAAAGACGAGCCAGGAAGTGATTAAATGAGATCCGTTTTAAAACGGGACAATTTTAGAACAATGAGGATGTTAGCTACCTGAGGTCTTGTTAAAACACGGGTGGCTGGCCCCGCCCCCAGGGCTTCTGACAAGGCAGGATAGGGCGGGACCTGATAACCTGCACCTCTCACAAGCGCCCAGGTGGTGCTGAGGCTGCCATCCGTGGCCACTCTGAGTAGCACTGGCTCAGAACAAATGCCTCGATCATGATAAGTGCTGCGCAGAAGCTTGTGAGATAAAATTGATAGATAAAGGCAGAGTCAGGATTCCAGCCAGGCCCGTCTGATTCCAACATCTGTTCTCTTCTTACAGCATCATGCTGCCTCTCGGGTTTGACTTTTAAGGCTGAATAAAACTCTGTCCTTTGCCCTTTGCTGATTCTTTCCTTCACAAAACAAGATGGCTGGTTGGCTGTGGTTTTGACCATCGTATCCAACTCTTGTGTGCTGGCACATTTGTTGAAGGGCTGGTTACGTGTCAGGACTTTCTCACACTGTGGACAATACCACTGAATATGAGACGTGGCTCCTGCTCAGCAAGGATTTACAGCTGGCTGGGAGAGAGATGTCTTGCAAATATGAAAGGGTGATGGCAATACAGGACCTCAGAAAAGTTACTGGTTGTCCATGCAGTGACCAAGTCAGGGCAAGAACCCCGGGGGCCGCGGCATTGCAGAAGGCGTCCATGGGAGAGGCATGGTTCACTGTCCTGGAGAATGGGTGAGGTTGGGGTGAGCAAGGTGAGGGGAGCCCACACAGCTAGGGGAGGAAAGAACAATATTATGAGAATAAGGGGGGAGCGGAGCATCTGCTGGTCAAGTGTCTTCTGTGCAGCAGGCACGGAGCCCGCATTCTCTGCCTTGTCTTGTGGACGCTTCAGAACAACCCTGTGAGAAGCGATTCCGTCTTCAAGTTACAGGGAAGGAAGCTGAGCCTCAGGGTGGTGGGGTCACATAGCCAGTGGAGGTGGGAGCTAGGATTCGACCCCAGGTCAGACTGCCTCTGCTTTTTCCACCATGAGAAGTTGCCCAGGGGTGTAGGAAGCGGGGCAGGCCTAGAGGGAGGCTCTGGCTCTCAGGCTATGGGCCACACCTGAGGGAGAGGGCCTCCTTGCCCATGGGACCCCAGACACCTGGCTTTTCCCAGCGCAGCCCTGGCCCCAGTAAGAGGAGCAGTGACAAGACAGCAGGACTGCAAGGCGGGTTGAGGTCAGATGCTGAGAGCTGTGAGGACCAGGCGCAGGGCTTGAGATTTTATTTCATAAGTGGTGGGGAGCCACTGAAGTTTATGGAGCATGGGAGTGATTGGGTCTGAGCACTTGACTGTGTACATTGTGGAAACTAGTGAGGAAGGTCTGTCTCAAAGCTGTCGGCAGTGCGGGGCATCATTAATCAGTACCTGGACTAGAGAATAGAGAAAGAAAGGAACTGGTATCAGCCACTTCCATGAGGAACTTCTAGAACTTGGCAGTAGGATACCCGGCAGAGGGTAAGTCTTGGTGAGCTGGAGAGTTGTGAGGTTCTCCCTAAAACAATGCATACCCATCCAAGGAGCTGACTGGGGCCTGGTGGGAGAAGGCAGGGTCCATCCTGCTGCACTTGGAGTGATGGGCGTGGGGCAGCCGAGTTGGCCCAGCAGAGGGGTGACACTCCGAGGCTGACAGGGGAAAATGGTTTTGGAGTTCTCTGCCAAGAGACAGAAGTCCTGGATGTCTGCTTTGATCATCCTTTGGGGCTCCTACAGAGCTCCCTCACCTGCCTGGCTCTGTATGTTATCTTAGTTATGTTTCCAGGAGCCTGATAGACCCTTGCCAGTCATTTTACCTGTCCTTCTTTCTCCTCAGCCTGCCTCTGGACCAGACCCTTCCTCGCCAGGGTCCCAGCCAGTCCCTGTCCTTCCCAGAAAACTACCAGACTCTTCCCAGAAGTACCCGGCACCCCTCAGGGGGCTCCTCGCCTCCTCCCCGCAACCTGCCGAGTGACTACAAGTACGCCCAGGACCGAGCCAGCCACCTGAAGATGTCCAATGAGGAGCGCCGGGCCCACCGGGATGGCACCGTGTGGCAGCTCTACGAGTGGCAGCAACGGCAGCAGTTCCGGCATGGCAGCCCCACGGCGCCCATCGCAGCGGGCTCCCCAGAGTTCGCCGACCAGGGCCGGAGCAGGAGCATGCTGGAGGTGCCCCGCTCTATCTCAGTGCCTCCATCTCCCTCGGACATCCCTCCCCCGGGGCCCCCGAGGGCCTTCCCACCCCGGCGGCCACACACACCAGCAGAGAGGGTCACTGTGAAGCCACCCGACCAGAGGAGGAGTGTGGACATCTCACTGGGGGGTTCTCCCAGGAAGGCGTGGGGCCATGCCACCAAGGTGAGGCTCCGGAGTGCTGCCCAGCTGCTGGGGTCCTGGATGGTGGCGCTGGCAACCTGGGATGGCTCGGACACACATTCGAGCGGTTTGCAGTAATGATGGGTGACACGCACGCAGTACTTCCAGGTGTCAGGGCCGTGCTGGAGGCTCCACTTTAACTCCTACAACAGCCCCAGGAAGCAGGTGCTGTGACAATGCCCACGTCTCAGATGAGACCTCTTGAAGCATTAGGAACTGAGTAACTTCCATGGGGCCACACAAGTGGAATCCTCTTCCCTGCAGCTCGGGAGGCTGGAAAAGCTGTCAGTGTTGAATCAGTTTGATTATTTACTATAACCCAACTTAAATGTTAACTCTTCAAGGGGCTTTCACAGTTTATCATTGCTGCAACCTGATGAAAAAAGTGCACGGTCCATTTCACAGATGAAGAGCGAGGCTCAGGGTGGTGCCGTGGCGTGCGGTGGGCTGCCCTGGCAGTGGGTGGCAGAGGCCCCCTTGCCCGGCCCTCCGTGTGACTTCTCGTTTCCCTGCCCGCAGAGCTCCTCTCACGTGGACCGCCGCTCCATGCCCTCCTTGGGTTACATGACCCACACTGTCAGCGCTCCCAGTTTACACGGAAAATCGGTAAGCAGGGCTTCACCTCCCGCTCCAGGCGAATGGTCTGTACAGCCTGCAAAGGGCTCATCTCATTCGTGTTGCCCCCTGAGCCCGCCACTTCTGGTCTGCAGGGCAGCTGTCAACCCCCATTTTAGAGATGAGAACATTGAGGCTCAGAGGAGCCGAAGGACTTGCTCAGGGTCGCCCAGCCGGCACTGGGTCCTTCCCAGACCCGACGAAGAGCTTGGGGAAGTGGAGGAGAGTGTGGGCTTTTCTTCTCTCTGGCAGCTCTCTCCAGCCACCTGCGTTTCTCCAGTTAGCTCCTCTCCTGCTCTTTGCTCTGATTAGTTAACTGTCTTCAAAGTGTGAGTCTGGGTGAGGGGCACTGTTGGTCGCTGTTTTCTGGAAAAAGTACTTTCTGCAGCCCCTATTCTGGCAGTGCCTTTATGTGTCCTAATGACAGAATTAATGCAGTAATTACTTAACGGTGTCACATCAGTGCTGCCCCGGCACGGGGCGAAGAGTCATTATAGCGTCGTGCTCCTGCAGTGGCTAATTTCCTCGTGATGTGTCTACACACCTGCAGCTGGAGCAGCTCTCGCTGCTCCTGTCCCGGTTACGGCGGCACCAGGCCAAGTTGGCCAGTGTGCGAAATTTTGCCGTCGGCCAGTTACTGCAGCACCAGCTGACCTTTCCCACCTGCCAGGTCAGCGCCGGTGGCCTCTCTCTCGGGGCAGGGGCCACCCTGGGGGCAAGGGCGTGACATATGGCCTGTGTTCCTCGTGCCCATGCTCTGGTCTGTACTTGCTGGCTGGCTCTCTCCCTCGTTCCCTGCCTGTTTGCTTCTGGATGCTGTCGCCAGACGCTGTGGCAGTGGTGGGGCCCACGCCCAGCTCGGGAGGAGGCTGCATGTGGTGGGCGGGACCTGGACTGTGGCTTCTCCGGCTGTGAGTGGTGACTGGCAGGCTGGTGTGTGTGGTCATGTCCGAGGGGCTGTGCTGGCTGTCGTCCTTGTTGCCACCTGGGGCACTCCTGGGATGCCAAAAGGTGTGTGTCGGCCTGGAGGGAGAAGGCAGAGTGCCCTGCTGGTTGACAAAGCAGCCTTGCCTCCCTTTCTGGGAGCCTCACAGTAAGCAGGGAGAGGCCAGGTGGGACCAGAACTAGTCGCACACAGCAGGCAGGGGATTGAGAAGGGGAGGTGACTAGCCCGGGATCCCTCAGTTACATCTGGAACCCAGGTCCCGCCTGGCACAGTATTTTGAACTTTCTAGGACGTGGGGTTGGTCCAGGCAGTTCGCTCACCCCAGCATCTGGAGCAGCTGAAAGAAGGTGCTGGTCCAGACGAGTCTGGTCCCTCTGAGCTGCACAGAAGGAGGCAGAAGACAGGAGGGGAGGGTGGCGGGATGGTCGCCTTCTTACTTGCCCCGTTTTAGTGGGACCCGACGGACCCAGGAAATGTATTTAGAAACATGAATATAAGGGAACACTTACAGAAACCCTAAGTTGTGAAGTTGGGTGATTTTTAAATAACATTTATTTAATAACATTTTTATTGATGATTTCATACCATTGCTCTGTCCTTTCTGCTGTGGAAGGTGTTTAGGGGACTGGACTGATAAGGAACTAGGGATGGGTAAGGGGACAGTGCAGGGACAGAGGTAAGGTCTTACAAGCCACTAGAGTCCCTGGCAGTGGTCCTTCCAGCCTTCTCACACTGCAGAGCACTGCCTGAGTGTCTCGCGTTGTTCTCTGTGTGTGTGTTGTACGTCAGAGCTGTAAGCAGGGACCCTTCCCAGCCCCAGCGCTGGGCGCGCTGGGAGTTCTCTTACTCTGCTGAGAAGGGGGTGCCTGGACTGCCTTTCTTAAGCTTTCTTGCCCCTCTGCCTCACAGGTAGCTCCCGTGGTCTGTCACACGGGAAGCACACATTCTAGGGAAGCAGTCTTTTCCTTATTCTCACTTTTGCTAGTACCTATTCTGGAGAACTCCCCAGGCTGTCGGAGACGATCCAGGCTGACGGGTGGGCTAGCCCCTGACCTGGCCACATGGGCTCCCTGCTGAGCAAGGAGGCCCAGACCTCCAGGAAACTTCCAGAGGCTGCTGGTGCTTATCATTCTGAAACCGAAGGCCCTCAGGGCACCTCCCTGGGGCACCTAGGTCATCTCCCTGTCTCCTCCAGGCATTTATCTAACGAATCAGTGGGTCCTTTTGCTTCATGCATGTGAATGACCCGATGCAGAGGTTTGATGACAAAAACTGGAGGACTGGGAATCGATGGGACCCACTCAGGTGTAGCAGGTCCCCTTCCAGGGAGAACTCTGTAGTCCTGTCTCAGGAGGTCACCGCTGCCTCAGTTGCATTGCTGTCCTAGCCTTCTGGCCCCCCTCCTTGCCATCAAACTGTCCCCTTTAGCTAATGAGGGGACAAGCTGGCTTTCCCCACAATGACCTGCAAGACCCACTGTGCTGAGAGAGAGCTCCGAGCTGCACCGAGACATTTGCGCTTCCTCTGTGGCCCTGGATGTGTTGGTCTGCTGTGGCCGCTTGTCCCCGGAGCTGTGCCATGTAAATGATTCATGGATCCCCATGGTATGGAAACCCTTGGTGTCTATAACTGGTTTCTTTCTCTCTCTGCTTCCTTTGAAGGCCGATGATACCTACCTCCAGCTGAAGAAAGACCTGGAGTACCTGGACCTAAAGGTGAGCGACGCCAGGGGTCTTGCTTGCCTTGGACACTCACCTTTCCGAGAGTGTCAGCTCCTTTGTAGCCAAGCCCAAGCCAAAGACAGTGCAGGTCTGATTAAATCTGGATCCCAAATGGAGACAGCTGCTGTCTGTCTAAATCAGAAGAGTTTTATTTCTTACAGTCTCCAATTCTGGGCTCAGTTTCTTGTGAATTCTGCTGTAAGGTGTCTGTCTTACAGAATGAGGCCACAAGATTCCGATCTCTTCCTGTCCTTGGTCAGAACCCAAAGGTCCCTGCAAATAATAACCTGGTCATTTCTGCAGAGCCTCCGGGGTAGGGGGGTGGGGGGAGTTTGATTCACTGGGTGCCACTGATGTGTGTCTTTGGTCACAAAGCAGGTCAGTGGATTGTTCGTCATTGGGGGAGAAGGTTCCACGTGGAATTATGCAGCTCTGGGGGATGCCGTCATCTCCCATCCCCATTTAGGAGGTGATCACTGGTCCGTCCCTGTAGGTGATAAAGCCTCAGGCTCTCAATCAGCCTCCGTAGCACAGAGAGCCCGAGAAAGAGAAAGCCGTGGAATTGAGAGGCATTCTGCTTGAAAGAGCTGCTATTGTTGCATTCAGGGGCACTCTGAAAGCTCCCACTGTGAAAAGCACTTCTTATGCCTGAGCCATGAAATAGACTGAAGGAATGTGACCTTTAATTAACGGCAGGTGTGAGAGGGCGGGTGCGGGGCTGTGGGAGGGCACCCAGGTGACTGCCACGAGGGCGTGCCTCCTTCAGTCCCCCGTGTACCTGGCTGGAGAGGTTTTGAGCACAGGGATTGTCATCCAGCCTTATAGAAGGGTGGGGGGGATGAACATGGTAGTGGGGCAGGGGCCTCCCCACACAGGCCCATTTACAAATCAACTAGTTAACTTCTGTCTCTATTGAGCACTTGCTGTGTACCCAGCTCTGGAGATGCCATGGGGAGATGCAAGAGTAAAATTGAGGCTCTCTGGGTTAGGGAAAGGACATACCCCCAAATAACAGACTTATTAACAATGAGTGGACCAAGATCCGACCCGGTGCTCAGAGCTGAGGTCACGAGGATCGTAGGGACACAATGCTGGAAAGGCTTCCGGGGGAGGCGGTGTGTGCGTGGAGCCTGGGAGAGCCAGAGCGTTTAGGTTGGCTGAGATGGCCAGGACAGGGATGGAGGGAGCCGAGGAGAGCCAGGGTGAGGCTGGTGTGGCTGGGGCAGTGGGGGAGGTGGAGGTAGATCATTCGCGCCAGATTCTATGCGGGGCTTGAGGAAGGAAGGTGCAATGAACGAAAGCCTGACTTGGTTTTGGACATGAGCAGAACAGGGTTGTGTCAGGTGCAGGACATTTGCTAGTTTACCTGGCGTGAGCGAGTATTGTAAGTGTGGTGGTGATGCCTCGGGGTGCAGAGGCTCGAACGCGGTGGTGGGGGCTAATGTGCACTTGGGCCCATCTTCCCGTGCCCTGCTGGGATGGGGCAGGGTCCCTCCACCACACCCACCATCTGCACCTGACCTGGGGAGAGGTCCACCAGCCCCCCCTACCCCCGCTTTCATCTGCTGTGAGTGCCGCCACACCCAGGTGCCGGCCTTCCTGCCTCCAGTCACCATGCTGCTGTTTCCTCTCAGCCCTGTTCTGGGTCGTGCAGTGGGTGCAGAAGAACTCCTGCAGCGTCCATGTCCCTGGGCTGTGGCAGAGGCCTGGCTCAGCAGCAGCACAGGCGTGCCATGAAACCCTCCTCACGGTGCTCGGTGCACAGCACGCGAGAGATCTTAATGAAGTGCTCAGGCCAGAAAAGTGGGACTGTGTGTCTTCCGACTCCTGTTTGTACAGGACAGCTGAAGCTCACAGTCGGTCCTGGAGGGAAGATCCAGCTCAGCTTTCTTTTATTTCAAGATTGTGGGATTTGAGTTAAAGGGAGTTTAGAGGGAGAGAAACTGAGGCACAGGGTAGCAGAGCAGAGCCTGCCAGGAGTCCCCGTGTGCCCTGACGGCCAACAGAAGCTTAATAACAACAGACGGTACAATGCGTGCCGGCCACTGGGCTTTACTCCTGTTCAGTTTGTGAGCCCTGCAGTAGACCCCGGAGGGAGATGGTTCTGCACTGAAGCTCTGAGAGAGAGATGGTTTTCTCCATAAATAGTTACCGGGGAGCTAGTATTTGGGTGTCCCTCTGATGCTGAAGCTCATGCTCTTAATAACCTTGCCTCCCGGACAGTTAAAATGCTGCTTCTGCTACTGTGGACCCAGAAGAATTGGGTTTTGTATGGAACTCAGCTTGGGGTCATTAGCCTCTCAGGAAATGGGTTTGATGTGACAGATGCAATGTGTATCCTTGGGGTGTGTCACTGGTGAGGAGCTGTATGTGCCCAGAACACTAGTAATTGGAAGTTGTCACTGTTTGCCATGAAAAACAGCTGTGTTGATACCAAGCTTTTTCCCTGGTCTTGTGGCTGTTACTCCAGTGTCTGGTTCCTCTCAGAACTGGTCCTCCAGATAAATGTGCCAGCAGCCCGTGTGGGAAGAGAGGCTGGGGTTTGTGCTGCGTGTGAGTCACCAGTCTGACATGGCTGCCAGAAGGCTGGCCCCACCCACCTGGCCTGCCCCCGCGGGACGCAGTGCCCAGATCAGGGAGGCGGTGGGCCCACTCTGCTCTGACCAGCTGGGGTAGAGCATTCCCTGATGCGTGTCTCACTTCAGGGTCCAGGCGAGGGAGGAGGGGCTGGAATCGAAGGAGAGGCACTGAGGACCTGGGAGAACCATGGCTGCGGAGTGTATAGGCGGGATGCCTTTGTGTGCAGGTGTCTGAAACCCCCATCCACCTGCTGGGCCACAAAGGGGATATACATTCCAGGGCTCAGGCCACGCTGTCACCATTCTACTTCCCTTGGTGTGCGGGTTGCCTCCACATGGCCAGGGAAGGCAGCCACCTGCAAATCCAAGTTCATTTCCTCCCAGCCTATCCTCCCCGTGGAGTGAGGGGGCAGGGGGTTCTTACTGGGAGGGCATGCTGGCCAGAGACAAGAAACACAGCAGCTAGCTGAGCCCCAGGGAAGGAGGTGAGGGTGATTTGGGGAAGACATAAACATAGGTTGTAAAGCTCTGAAATATTACCAGGTGCCTTCTGTGGCCCTAAGGGGGAATTAAGACAAGTGGAGAGTAGCCACAAGTAGACTGGTTTCAGTTGAGTACAACACAGACTTTTCGAAAGGGCCACCACCGGTCACGGTGAGCTCTGCATGGCCTAGGGAGCAGTGCGGGGGATAAGCAGCTGGCCAAGAACACCCTGAGGCCCGCTCGCTTCCTGTGTCATGCTAGGGCCCCTGAGACACAATTGAATGGGTCTGGGGGTGCGGAGAGTGACAGGCATTGTCCCCACTGTCACCAGCTTCTTGTGAGAGGTCCCTCCTGGGTCCTTGTGGGGAGAGCAAGGAGGTGAGCCGGTCTGGAGAAGGATTGTCTCTCCATCCCCACTAGGTTGGCCTGAAGTCCCCTTGTCCCTGCCCCAGAGGCCACAGAACCCACCATCCCTGCCATCAGCGGACACTCAGCTTCCAGAATCAGTGGGTGGTGTTAGCTCCGCCCTGTGCTGAGGAGTTTTTCCTTCCTGAAACAAGCATTTCTGCTGCGGTGCCAAGGGATCCCACAAAGGCATGCTCTACTGTCTTAGAAGACGCTCTGTTTAGCGTCTTTTTGGAAATGTTTACTTCTCTGGCATTTCATTCGGCGGTGCCAGGGTGGAAAGGAGTCCACACTGGCTAAGTGCCTGTTTTTGCCTGGCCGTGTTTGGGCACTTGGTGTTCTCGTCTCCCATAATCCTCTCAGCATCCTGGAGCAGCAGAAATTATTGTCCCCACCTTACCACCCAGGAACCCAAGTCTCAGAGACGTACCTTCTACAAAGTTACACGGCTGGGATTCGAACCCAGCAACTAACTCCACACCTGCCTTCTTTCCTCCACGTGCCATGTACTTCATCTACCCCTAAGGTGTATTCACCGAATGGTACTTCTGGCATTAAGGGCTGCTCTTCAGGGTCCTGCCACCCCAACTGGGTCTGAAGAGGGAGTGTGGGGGCTAGCTGTTGTTGACGGCTGGATGTGTTTGTATGAGGCTCTGAAGCGCAGGTGAGACAGGGAGGTGGAGGGCAGGGGGCTGCAAACTGTGCAGGTGATGCCTTTGTAGGTAGAGTAGGTTGCAAGGTTGCAGTCAGCTCCAGAGAGGCTCTTGTCCCTCAAGAGGGACAGGTCATCAGTGGCCCCAGGTCCCTGGCCTCCAGACCCTTCCTGACTGCTCAAGCCTGGGGTCAGGGCTTCTGTGCTCAGGACCCGTTTCCAGGGTCAGCTTCCGGAGCCAAGTTTCTGAAGTGGGGGTATGGGGCACCACCTACTTCAGGATCACCTGGGAGCTGAATAAATAATCACAGATCTGGAGTGGGGGTCTGTTGAACTAGAATCTCTGGCGATGGCACCCAGAATTGTCTTTTCTTTTTTTTAAATCAAGCTTCAGGGGGATTTTTGAGCACACTAAAGTTTGAGGTCTGTTGTTCTGGAGAAGAGATTGTTAACCCTGGCCATGAACTGAAACACCAGAGGAGCTCTTTAACTGAGTGTCCTGTCCCTTAGCGGCTCTGATTTAGTCAATAACACACAGGTGTTACTCTTCAAACAAACAAACAAACCCCCCTCAGTGTCTCCAGTGTAGCCGTGGTTGGGAAAACCGTTTCAAAGCAGTGGTTCTCAAAGTGCGCTGCCATACCAGCAGCCTCAGCAACACCTGGGCGTGTGCTAGAAATGCAAAATCTGGAGTCCCACCCCTGACCAGCTCTGGGAGAACCTCTGCAGGGTGGGGCCCAGCAGCTCTGTGGTCAGGGATGGGCTTACAGTTGTTTGTGTGGGAAAAGGCATGCAGGTTATGGTTATTACAGTAGATTTATTAACTCCAAAGATTGTTGCTCACAACTATAAAGCTACCTTTGCTCACTCGTCCCTGTGTTAACAAGGCCTCCAGGTAGGTAATTCTGAAGCATGATGAAGTTTGAGAGCCAGTTTCAGAGTCCTGGTTCCCAATCCTGGCTGCACAGTTAGGATAGCCCCTGGGGGAGGGGGGCACCAGCCCCACCCCAAGCCAACTACATCTGAATCTCGTCGAGTGGGACTCAGGCACTATATTTGATCAAGTTCCCGGGAGATTCCAGTGTTCGGGCCAGGGCTGGGATCCACTCCCATCGTGGGCTGGGACATCTTCCCTCACAGGAGCGGTGAGCAGTGGGATCACCGGTGAGAGTAATTATTTAGAGGCCACTTGGGCGTGGAGAGGGGCGTCCGAGGGACTGGTGACGGCCCCGCTCCAAAGCAGAGATCCGGCACCTCACAGCGTGTGGTGAGGGAGGACCGAGGAGGACGCCCAGGTCCCTGTCACCCTCTGCGGCAGAACCCAGGATGCAGTGGGCACTGAGCTGGGCACCGTCACGTAAACCAGCCCGCACAGGGGTCCTTCAGGCAGCGCCTATCCCCCCTCCATTTTATAGACGAGGGGACCGACCCCCAGAAAGGTCCACCGGCTGGGAAGCCGTGCAGAGCACTGAGTCCCTGCCGCTGAGTCACACGGCCACACGTCCCCCTTAAGGCTCCCCTCACCGGTGCCCCAAATTCTGGCTCCTTCAAGTGTTGTTTGATGTCTCACCTGTTACGTTTTGTTGTATTTGCCTTTCTGTTTGGAACAGATAAAAAATAATGAACCTTTGATCAACGTGCTTTACAAAGTGCTGAAGAAGTCAGCACTGGGCTGTCGGCCCAGGAGAAGCGTAAGATGATCGGATCTGTGTCTCCGAGCGGGGCCATTCCATTGCTTCTGGCTCAGTGCCGATCCCATCACTTGCTTAACCAGGGGCTCTCCTGACCACCCCCAGGCTTCCTGCAAGTCATTTCGGTTTATTTCCTTCTTTCTGAAGCTCCCTTCAGCACTCTGGCTGGTGCACCAGGCTGAGCCTCTCATCCGTGCTGTTCTGTGCCTCCATCTCCTGTGCTGCCGCGGGGGTGGGGCCGGGGGTGGGGGGCTTGCCCAGCTTGCCACCAGCTTGTGTCATGTCCCCATTGTCACTTGTCTGCCTCCATGGGGAGGCCTGACCTAGACAGAGACCAGCATGGTCTGGGCAGTCGAGCATGAGTTTCTTGGGAGGAGGGAGTGGTCATTCCTGCTCACCTTGGAGGAGCTGGGGTGTCCTCAGATCCCACCGTGGACCTGGGGTTAAGGGGGCTCTTCTTCGGGGCAGAGTGTTGCTGTCTGGAGCTGGACTAGAATGAAACGGGGCCTCCCACCCCCACCCCCCTTCGGCTGGTACAGAACTAGTGCCTGAAACACCGCCACATTTCGTTGCATTCCCAGGGAGGCTACGGGTCAGGAAGCGCGTGCTGTGTCCGGTCACCCTGAGCCCTGAGGACCGGTGTCTGGGGGTGTGGGGAGAGGAGAGTAAGGTGCCAGGTGGCCTTCAGTTCCTTCCTGATGCTGATGTTCTTCCAAAGGGAGAAGTGCCCATGACTTTCACTTCTTCTGGTGAAGTGATGCTGGGGACCCATTGCTGAAGTTTTAAATGGATTTAAGCATTGCTGACACAAAGCATGGTTTTAAAAGGGCAATTAGATGCAATACGCTACTTGTGGATAGGCCTTAGTGGCCTTGGCTGTCTAGAACAGAACCAAAGTCAGGAGCTTACAAGGCCTCTGAGCTGTGTAAACACAGTCTCGAAGTCCAGCTCCGAAGCCCGTGGCCTTCACTCCACGGGAGCGGGTCTCAGGAGTGGGTCTCAGGAGTGGGTCTCGGCGCAGCCAGCTCGCCTTGTTTGTTACGTTCACAGGCTTGCTGAGCAAACGTTTCCCGAATATCCTCCGTGTGAGGGGCCCTGGCTGGGCTTTGAGGATACAGAGAAACTAGGTCGCAGCCCTCACAGTCACCCCTAATCAGGTTAGCATCTAGTGAGGGGAGACAGAGCGTTTCACTGATGTGCTAGGGCCCTCAGTCGGAGACACAGGTGTGGGAGCGGCTCCGTGAAGGGCGCCGGGCCCAGCAGGAGGGAGGGGGTGGGGAAAGCAGCGAGTACATCCCTGCGTTGAGTTTCTAATCCCAGCAGACCCAGTCAGAGTTTGGATGCCTAACTCTCAGCACCTTCAAAGCAGCACATTAACAGGGGAGAAGAGGAAGCTGCCTCTTTGAAAGGAGGGAGTGCTAATATCCCAAGAAAGGAAAAAAAAAAACACATTACATGTCAATCTAAAATGAAAATAAAAGCACAGAAATTTGGGAGCATTTCATCCAGGGGTGCAAAGAGCCCTAAATACAAGCTTCTAAGAAATTCTATACTACTGATTTTTTAAATAATGACTGATTCATCCCCCCAAAAAAGTGGGGATATGTTGAGAATATATTCATCATTCTGTGAAGGCAGTGAAGGGCATACCTTTAGTAAGCTTTCCATCAAAAAGTTTAAAAGATTCGGCTCTCTCGGAATGCCTTTTTTGTGAGGAGTGCCTCACTTAATCCCCGATGGTGCTGGGCAAACAGGCTTCGCGCCGTCAGCTTCTCTGCCTTGCCGTTCCAGTGTCGAAGACACACCACTGGTAAAGAGCGTCAGTGAAATAAGGGGAAATGTTTTGCTGGGAGGGAAAGTCCCCAAAGCACATCTCGCTTTGAAAATGATTTCTTCCTGGGGAATGAGCCGAGTGACAGCCCCTTGGGGGGTGGGCAGGCTCTTTGCCCGCTGGTTCACTGAGGACGGCGGTGGTGCAGAGTGAAGACTCACCCACGTCTACCTTCCGGGGTCCCCGAGTCTGAGGGCCCAAGTCCTGCCTGGGAAGTTCAGCTGTTTGTGGTTCACAAGGATGAGCTCCTCCGCCCGCTCTCCCCTTCTGCCCTGACAGAAGCCAGCACAGCCTGTGTGTTCGTGGATTGTTGCTGTTGTCGGTGTGTTCGTGACTGTGTGTGTACGTGTGTATACATATCACCTGTCAGTCTGAGGAGCAGAATTTGGCTGGAGTTCTGTTTTTCCCAGGGAGTCTGCAGCACTGACCTGCAAGTATTTCTCTCTGGCCCGACTGCAATGCAATAAGCATTTGCCAAGTGCCTTTCCGTGTGCCAGGCCTTGTGCTCAGGGCTGACTTTACCAAGACAAAGAAGACAGTGGTCCCTGCCCTCTTCTGTGCAACCACAGGGAGCGTGGGAATGGGTGGGGGCAGGTCTGCAGCCAGACTCAGTCCTCAGGCCAAGGCATGGATGGAGAAGGCATTCTCCTTTGACCTTGCCCTTCGCTAATGATGATTGTCAAGGAGAGGGAGTACAGGACAGTTGGGCACAGGGGTGGGAGGAGCTTGAGTTCTGAGGCGAATGCCTGCCAATGTATTTCTGTTTCTGACTCACACTCCCAAACTTCCTGGGCCTCCCAGATGGAGTAGGGGGAAAGCGAGGGCCATCTCTCCAGCAGCCGTCTGTCCGTCCACACCGGGATGCTCTGCATGCTACACACCACCACCTATCTCGGCTGTGGTGTTAGCTACACCCTCTTTCCCTGGTCAGATCTGCAAAGTGGAGTTCAGCAAGACAGCCTCTGCTACACGGGGCGCATTCAACCTGGCTCTTCCTGCCCCTGGCCTGGCCATGGCGGGGAGCACATCTGTGTAGAAGCCGCCCCTCCTGCACAGCTGCTGGCAAGGAGGTTTGGGGGAAATGGAAACAAGGGCTGCAGCACAGGGTTTAGTTTCAGAGGGGTCAGTCAGAGACTGGTGACAGGTTGCCATGCAGTGTTGAGGGAGGGGTGGGAAATGTGGTATCCCACCCGCCTGTACATTTGGGTGACTTTTGTCTCATGCCGGGTGGTCTCCTTTCTTGAGAGGACAGAGTAACTTGTAACACACACAAGTACAGCCTACCCTCACTTATCCAGGGATCAGTGAAAACCCCAGCTGGGAAGTATCCAGCTTCCTTCTTCCCTTGGCCAGATCCTCTTCCCAGATAATTAGGGTGGGGAGGCTGACCTTAGTCACAGGGGAGGTGGGCTGCTCAGAGACTTCCTCAAACTAAGGCTTGGCGATGTCCAGGAGATTTGCTTGTTCGCCCTGGTCCACCCTCCCCACTGGCCTGGACGTTTGACCCCAGGTTCAGTAGCATAACTCTCTCTTATTAATGGCAAATTTTCTGAGCAAATAGAAGCTGCTGTAGTTGATGATACTATAACTTGAACTTCTGTGTTTCCTTTAATTTGAGAAATTTACAAGTGCCACTAGAATGCTGAAAAAGGTTTTTTGTTTTTTTTCCCTAAAATGAAATAGGCCTGAAAGATAAAAGCAAGCATTGCCTCAGGTTTTGCCCCTTCTGTGCCATGACCCTATTTGCCACCGACCCATCATGGGGCTCACTTTCCTTCCCGAGCTTTGATCCCAAATCCTGTGGTTAAATCCCCTTTAACTTCTTCACCTCGCAGATGACAGGCCGGGACCTCCTCAAGGATCGAAGCCTCAAGCCAGTGAAGATTGCTGAGAGTGACGTTGACGTGAGTGAACAGAGTGGCAGGCTGGCATCTCTGCCGCCCGCTGTCCCCAGACCCGTCGGGGTGGACAGCTTCAGACAGGGTTTGGATGGTTCTGTAGCCAGAGGCCTTCCGATTCCACCCCAAGGCCATGCCCTTTGCTCCTCATCCCAGGCCTTCTCTAACCCGTTCTTGCTCACAGGTTAAACTGAGCGTCTTCTGTGAACAAGACAGGATCCTCCAGGACTTGGAAGACAAGATACGAGCCCTCAAGGAGAACAAAGTATGTGTCATTTTTGCATAATCTTAGGCTAGGAGGAATAGGGGGGTTGTCTATTCTCTGTCATGGACCTGATGGTATCAAACAACAGGGGTTAGTCTACCCAGAACAGTGTCTTTACATTTAAAAGGTGTTTCTTGGGGCGGGGGGATTTCTTCTGGTCCTGGAAGAAACCTCACAGGGAGGCCTTGGCCTAGTGCTCCAGCCCTCTTCCTCTCACCCCCCTATTCTGCTCCGGCCCCCGCTCCCTGGAAGCCCGGTGAGGTGAGCCTGGGAGAGGAGGGCTCCACCGCCTCGTCTGTGTTGATGTCCCCTGGGCCCCTGAGCACCTGGGCTGTGGAGGAAGCAAGACTGGATGGGAGGGCAGGAATGGACTGAGGGGTGGCGGGGGCACCGATGTTTGTTCTCTTAGACACTTAGTGTGGATGTTTTTCTTCATTGCACTTTTTAAAGAAGAAAAAGTGGATTTTGTTTATTTACCATATTTTGCCATGTATAATGTGCTCCCATGTATAATGTGCACCCACATTTTATCCCAATCTTTTGTTTTCATTTTTTAATTCAATTATTTATTTATGTATTTAGATACTTGTTTTTTTTGTATTATAAAGGAATTTTAGCATTAACTTTTGAACATATGGATATCATTATTGATTTCTATGCATTACACTCTTAATGCATAAGCATAAGTAAAAGAATTAAAAACATTTATATAGATATGGAATCAGTACTACCCATGTATGATGCGCATCCTTATTTTTCCCTCAAAAATTTGGGCAAAAGAATTCACATTATGTATAACAAAATACAGTGCTTTCAGAGAGTGGGAAGGGAGGGAGAAGGAGAGGGAGATAAACCTTGAAGAGCCAGAGAAAGGTCAGTCACTTGCCTCTCCCATGCCCCCTACTGGGGACCTGTCCCGCACCCGGCATGTGACCCCAGCATGTGTCCTGACTGGGGACTTGAACCCGAGACCTTTCTGTTGTGAGGCGATGCCCAACCCACAAAGCCTCACCAGTTAGGGCTCTTTATTGCACTTTAACCAGGTGTTATATTTGACTCTGAAAGTTTATTACATGTCCTTTGTCCCAAAGAACTTAAAGAGTTTTCCATTGACTCTGATTTATCCTCATTGTTTATCCCATGAGGAGCCAGAAGCCTTGCGCTCATTTTGTAGATGAGGAAACTGAGGCACGGAGCTATTGGGTGACTTGCCCCAGGCCACTCAATGGGCAGAGTCAGAGCCGGACCCAGAAACCCTGTCAGGCCCCAGCTGGACACTGCCCCTTCAGTCGAGGTTTAGCCCCTGGCATGGTATGGGGAGGCCTCCGGGGACTTTCCTGTTACCATCCTGCACTTTCACCCTCACCCGCGTAGGACCAGCTGGAGTCCGTGCTGGAGGTGCTGCACCGGCAGATGGAGCAGTACCGAGACCAGCCCCAGCACCTGGAGAAGATCGCCTACCAGCAGAGGCTGCTGCAGGAGGACCTCGTCCACATCCGGGCGGAGCTCTCCAGAGAGTCCACTGTGAGCAGAGGGTGGGGAGGGCGCAGACTCTTCCCCTCGGGATGGGCTGGGCGGGGGCTGCTCTTCTTGTCTCCCCCGCTACGATTGAATTGGTGGCCAGGCGCAAGAGTCTTGGGGCAGCAGGCTGCCTCCTGACAGTAGCTTACCTTGTCCAGGGGTGGCATGTCCAGGGCTGCCTTAGGGTCCTGTCCATCAGCGACTCCTAGGTGGCTACAGTGATGCCCAGGGGACCGGATTTCTCAGAGGAGCCTGTAAGGCTTGTTCCTGATCTGTATGCAGATAATTCCGCGATGTCAGCATCTCCACTTTATTTGTTCGTCTGATGTGGGGCAGGCCCTTGCTGCCTGGGCTGAGAACCGTAGTGTCCCCAGCGATATAAGTAAGACAGGACAGTGCAGAGGGCTGGGGTCAGAGGGTGCATGAGAAGACAGCCCAGGTCCCTCTCCCACCAGGCCGGCCCAAGAAGACCTGTGGGGCTCCCCTCCCCTCTCCCCCTGGCCGGGCCAGCTGTGGGCAGGAGCGCAGGTGTGCATGGGGCTTTGAGGGGGTGGAGCACGACTGAGAATTGGAAGTGTCTCCTTGGCCAACAGGAGATGGAGAACGCCTGGAATGAGTACCTGAAGCTGGAGAGCGACGTGGAGCAGCTGAAGCAGACCCTGCAGGAGCGCCACAGAAGGGCCTTTTTTTTCCAGGTGACTCGAGGGCCCTCGATCCCTCCTGAGCTCTGATTTCTTGGGAGCCCCACCCAGGGCCTCCTCTCCCTCCAGGGGGACCCAGCCTGTGCATCATCCCAGACTGTCTCCGGGGATCCCTGCCCCCAGCCCCCGTCTTCCTGCTCTTAGATAAACTCTGGCATTTTTGTGAGGGCTTTACATTTGGGAAAATAGCCTCGAGGGGAGACAGATACCAGCCTTGAGACCCTTGCAGACTTGAGCGTGATCTGTGTTTCTTAGTTCTCAGCCCATCCTGGCCTCCTAGCTACTCACTCAGACAGCAGCAGGAAGCCCCGCCCCTCCTTCCTCGGTTCCTGAAGACAGATGTTATCCAGCCTTCACCTGAGGAGGCAGTGTGCCTGCAGGAGGTGCCTCTGGTCTCCTGGCAGTCATTAGCATTTCTGGAAGCCGGGCTAAGAGATACCCATCGCTGTGGCCCCTGCCCCGCTCGGGAAAGGCAGCCTTAGAGCCCTGCTTCCGCTGTCCTTAGAAACCGGGCCGCCCTGCTGACAGTGGCCTCTGCCCCTCAGGTGCGGGAGGACAGGCTCTGCGTGGTTTTTCTTCCCCCAGTTGGGTCCTCCAGGTACCTGGTGTTCTCTCACTGTGGTGCCCAGCCAGGATCCAGCCCCATCCTCAACGTTTTAAAAATGGAAAATCACCAGCTTTCAAACCCAACCTCAGACCTCTAGCTCCCCTTCCGGGGCCCTGACATGCACTCACCTTGTTGGAGTTCAGTGAGCCTTCGCTGAGGCTCCTCGTAGGGAGACACTCTGCTGGGCCAGCTCTGGGGCTCGGCTTGCTAGAGGGTGACCTTCCAGCCAAGGCTCCTCGTTCCAGTGAGTTAATGAACATGTCGACTCTGCTGACGTCAGCCTCACTCCAACAAGTGATGGAAATTCAGGACTGGGAGGCTTCTCCCAGGCCCTGCTTTCCCCCCTGTCAGCATTCAGAGCTGGTCCCGAGAGGCGTGCGGGGACTCGGGCCTGTGGCTCAGGCCAGCCTGTTCAGCTCCCAGGACTCGTCTGCCTCCCGCTGCCACTGGCTGTTTTTCCCAGTAGCTGCCCTTCGTCCAAGCTGACTAGCACTTCCCTGTTCTTTTTTGTATCCGCAGCACTTAGCATAGTGGCTTGAAGTAGTAGGTGAATATCGACCAAGTCCTTCAAATGACTATTTCTCATTACTAGTTTCTCAAACTGTCCTGTCCTGTTACACGCATCTTCTTGGACTTGAGTGAGCCAGACTAATTTTAGCAGTAGTTTTATTTTAGCTGTTTATTCCTTATGTTTCTATGATTCTACAAATAACACACGAATGCATCTCTTTGAAAAAGCCAAACAACGAGAAGCAAAAAATAAAAATAAACAGAAGCTTCCCTTCCCTCCTTCCCCTTTCTGCCCCGGACCCCCGCCCTCCCCAGTGTAATGGGGGCCATCTGTTTGCAGCGTCGCCCCCGCCCCAAGCACCTCCTTCGCATTTCCAAGTATGTGCACAGACATGGAAGTACAGAACTTATTCGGGGTGGGAGCCAGGTGTATTTACAGAGGAGTCTTTCTTATACTTTGTTCAGTGACTCACTTTTTTGTTACAACCTTATGTTGTGGAAATCTTTCTTGGAAAAATACTCCTAAGTTTATGCTGCCCGATATAGTTGGTATTTAAATTTAAACTCAAATTAATTAAAATTAACCAGCATTAAAAATGTGTTCCTCAGTCACACTAGAATCATTTCAGCTGCTCAGGAGCCACATGTGGCCGGGGGTTACCATATGGGACAGCACAGGTCGGGGGAGACTCCAGCAACCCCAGAAAGTTGTACTGGACATCGTTGGTCTGAGTCAGCAGTTTCCAACCGGTGTGCTGCCAGAATTTTTAAAACATGCAGTTGCTGTTTAATCAGGACCACTGACCTCTTTCCCTTAGATCGTCAAATAAAAAAATGACAACAGCCAACACAGCAATAGCCATCTGGTGTGAATGAATCAAAATTATACCTGTTTTTATTTTTGTCAAATCAGTGAAAAACTATTTTCGTGTGCCACAGAATTTTAGTAATTAGTTTTTATGTGTCCCATGAAATGGAAAAGGCAGAAAATGGCCGGTCTGAGTAAATGAAATTAAATTACTTCTTACCTGCTGCATAGAGCTCTGTGGTGTGGATGTCTTCTGGTGGATACGTACTGTCGCTTGCAGTGCGTTTTGCTCTTATGCAAGGTGCCTCAGTGAGCATCTGCGTAACCGCCTTTTCCAGCTCAGCTATGAGCACTTGTCCAAGATAGGCGCCTGGAGTGGACCTGGTGGGCTGCAATGAAGGCGCCCCTTCCATGGGGACAGGGTCTGATCCCCGTCTGACAGGCTGTGCTCGTGGCCCCCCTCGCCCCCCCAGGGAACGGGAGCACCTGACCTGCCTGCCCACGTCCTCGCCAGCACGTGATGTTATCAGTCTTTCGTTTTTGCCAGTCTGCCTGCTGAGAAAGGACATCTTGTTTTAATTTGCATTTATTTAATTACTAGTGGGTTGAACACCTTTTCATGTGATTACTGGCCCTTTGTATTTCTGCTGTGCCTTACTTATTTCACGTGGTTTTACATACAGCAGGCCCAGAGACTGTTTTTTCCCCCAAAAAGCAAATGGGTTTAATGTACAGGTCTTTTCATGGACTCCCTAGTAAGTCAGTAGAGCACAGGCCAGTTGGAAGCCCAGGCCCTGCTGCTTGATTGGCACCTCATTTGGTGGCAGTGCTGACACTTTCCCTGAATGCCACCGCGGCCTGGGAAGCCCACAAAGCCCTTCTTCTCGCAGGCTCCGGGCTGACTTCTTCGGTGTGACTCCAGGCTGGGCGAGCTGTTAGAGTCCTGAATGACTCACGCTTGCAGCCCCTACCCCCTTTCTCCATAGGGAGCCTGGAAACTCACTAGCCCCCTCTCAGTAGCCAGGCGTGGCTGTGAGAAAATTCATCGCCTTTTCATTAGATGAGTGGCTTTATTTATAAAGATTTTCATGGCCACCTAGGTGGGGAAGCCAGAGGATAAAAGAACATCCAGGTGACTGTGAGGGGTGGTGACAGGTGAGGTTACCTGTAGGTGTCCCTACTTCGGGACAATGAATTCAAGCCTTTGCTGACTGTAGTACCCAGGAGCCTTCCTGCCCAGCCCGGGGTGGGGATACAGGAAGGGAACCCCACCGCTTGCTCCCCGAAAGCTTCCTTCACCTTGTCATTAAGTCCTGAAATTCCATCACCCTTCTCTTACACTTGGGGTGGCAGGAAGACAGCGTCGGGGCAGGCTTGGGAACTGGCCGGCGGAAGTGTGTGAGTGGGCTGCCAAGGGAGAGGGAGAGGGAGAGTTGGTTTTAATGCCACGCTCCTCCTTCACCCGCTCCCAGGACGCTGCTTGGGAGCCCCAGCTCCAGAGTTAATGCTGTTAGCCTGCACACACTCTCTGGGCTCAAACACATGTCTGTTTTGGGACAGCTGTGCTTTTGTGAGGAGCTAAGCATCAAGTCCGTTATTTGCCTCTCAGCCCTGAGGATGTGAGTTGGTGTTTTAACCAATGGGGGGAGATTGAGAGCGGGAGCCCCATTAGGAGGGAAGCCTCGGACATCACAGTTGCTGGACAGTATTTGATCAGGGACTTTTAAGTGATTGGTCCTTTATTCATTCAACAGACATGTACTGAGTATCTGCTGAGAGCCTGCCCCTGCGGGGGGGCGGGTGAAGGGGGCTGTCAGAGCACACAGTCCAGTCGCAGACTCGGACAGGTCCCTAAGCACGTGAGGCCTGTCCTGTCTGAGGGTGGCCGGTGCCTTGAGAGGAGATGCGGATGTGACACCTTCTGTCCTCCCCCATGGTAATTTAAACATTGAAAGAATACTCCATTTGATGTTTAAACAACTCTATTAAAAGATGCCTGTGATCCCTTAATCACGACAGACCCTACTTATGTCTTTCTGGGGCTTCTTCCCGGCCAGTTTCAGGTGTGATTGTCAGAGTGTGCGTGCGGCCCTGTAGCCTGGCTCTTCCCCAGGGCTCTTGAAAAATAGCAGCTTTACCCTCTAATCCCTGTTACCACGTGCAGTTCTCCCTGAAGAAACCTTGTACCTGTTCACCCCCCCCCCGCCCGTCAGCTCCCCATTCCTGCTCTAGCCAACCACTGACCTACTTTCTATCCTTATGGATTTACCTGTTCTGGACGTTTCATGTACATGGAATCACATACTGTGTGGCCTTTTGCGTCTGGCTTCTTTCACTTAGCACAGTGTTTCTAAGGCTCATCCATGGAATACCGTGTATCAGTACTTCATTCCTTTTTATTACCAAACAGTTTCCATGGCCCACTGTACCCTGAACTAAACTTCAAATCCCAGGATTTTGAAAAATGCTCTTTATATTCTAGGGAAGGCCTAACCTCTAGTCCTTGCCTTTTCTTCCCTTATGCCACGGTTGCCTATGACAGTCTATTTTCTAAAATTGCGGTAAAACATACATAGCATAAAATTTTCCACCCTAACCGTTTGCAAGTGTATAGTGGTAGCGTTAAATATCTTCGCATTGCTGTGCACCTGTCTCCACAAACTGTTTTATCCTGCAGGACCAGAGTTCTGTGCCCACGAAACAACAACCCCCTTCCTCCCCACCCCCAGCCCCTGGCCACCACCTCTCCTCTCTCTCTGAATGCAAGCGACTCCTGTAGACGCCACATGGAGGGGACTCACACAGTGTTTGAGGCAGTCTGTTGTTAACTGAGGTGGAACTAGGCAAGGTGGGCTGGTGGGGGCTGCTCAGAAATCCCTCTCCTGGGCCTGGGGCATCTTCCAGGTCCGTGCTTCCGTGCGAAGCTGTGCAGCAGGCTTGGCTGTAGCCCTGGTGGGGTTTCCCAAGGACGTGCTGCCTTCCCAGGGTGAGGGGCCCTGTCTGACGCGACAGCGCGAGCCCTGGGAAGAACCCCCTCCTAAGGAGCTAAGAAGGAAATGAACCACCGCCTGGTCTTCCTTAGGAGAAGTCACAGATACAGAAGGATCTCTGGAGGATTGAAGACGTCATTGCAGGCCTGAGTGCGAATAAAGAGAACTTCAGAATCCTGGTGGACTCAGTCAAGAATCCGGGTGAGCGGCATCTTCCTCGAGGCAGCACGTGGGAGGGGGGCATGACCCTGGGGGTCGGGGTCAGGCCCTCGTGGTGTAGGTCATTCCTCCCTGGAAGCGGGCCTTTGTTCCATCCCGTCCTTGGTTTCCCTCTACGCCCCTCAGAGAGAAAAACGGTGCCTTTGTTTCCTCACCCGCCTGTGCCTTCGCTCTCGACTTTGGAGAGCAAGCCGCCCCCGCAGCCCAGCCCGCCCACCAGCCCTGTGCGGACCCCTCTGGAGGTTCGACTCTTCCCCCAGCTGCAAACCTACGTGCCGTACCGACCTCACCCACCCCAGCTGAGGAAGGTGACGTCTCCTCTTCAGTCACCAACCAAGACGAAGCCCAAAGTTGTAAGTGTGACGGCCAGGAGCTGAGTGCCGCCTTTTCCTCTCTGGCAGATGATTTTCCCTCTCTGTCTTCGGGTCAGCTCCTCTCGGGCGAGAGGCTTCTAGGGAAACATGGGGAGGTAGAACCAGCCGGAGTGCTGAGCCACGAGACGTTAAGGAGTGGAGGCCTGCCACCAGACCTCAGACTCCCAGAATTAGAAGGGCCCTTCCAGATAACCGAGCCCAACCCTCCCATGTTGCGGTGGGGCCCAGCAGAGGAAGTGACTGTGGTGGGTGAGTGGGTGGGACCGTTCGTCTGTACCGTGCAGAGAGGTGTGTGGCCGCTCCTTGCAAACCTGCAGTTACACATGCCTGCAGGCAGTGGGCTCACCTCAGCAGAAGAGTATCCTTACCTTCACCTACAGGCCAGCACTCTGCTGGGTACATCTGATCCTTGATATAACCTCCTGGAGCACAGACAGGAAAGCTGGAATCCCCATTTCACACACAAGGGAGCTGAAGCCCAAAGGTGTTATTTGCTTGAGGTCTCCATGTCAGTAGACTCAGTCCACGTCTCCTGACCATTCTCTGTGCCATCTGTCATCTTGCTGAATGTCCGTCCCAGGTCCCCAGGCTAGGTTTGTGGTCCTTGGGGTTGCCTGGGCCAGTGCTTCGGCTTGCCTGGCATGAGAAGGGGCCAAGCCCTTGGCAGAGTCTGGGACAACAGGGCACTTTAAGGAGACAGAAGGTGTGGTCAGCTACCACGATAGCTGATGTCTCCAGGGCCCAGCCAGTGCCGGCTGGAGCCTGCAAGGGGTCCGATCCAAGTGACGGAGAAGCTATAGTGGAAGGCACCTGGGAAGGGGGACCTCCAGGATTTTGCATGGAGGAGCTTTGCCTGGACACCATGAGTGCCTTGGACATCTGTTGAGGTCGGGGCACAGCAGTGGCTTAAACACACAGGTTCCCATATCCTGGTCCTCACCACCTCCCCATTTCCGGCCACGGCCCGGGGCCCAGAGCTGGACCACAGGTGCCAGGACCCAGGGTCCTTGTGAATTTCTTCACCTTGAGATCTGCCCAACCCCAGATGTAAGAGGCACGGAGCACCAGCCACAAAATGGGGTAGAAATAGCGAAACAAACAGGAACGACTGGGGAAGACGGCTGCCGACAGGAGGCAGGCTGCCTGCCGGCCCGGACAGGCCGCAGGAGGACTGGTGCCGCCCTGGAGCCCCACCCCCCCACTCCAGCCCTTCTGCTCTCTGGGTCCTCGGACCCAGGCCTGTCCCCTCTCCGAGCCACCCCAGTTTCCCCCTTTGCACAACAGGCAGCCTTGAATAGACATCACAGAGGCGGCTCTTCACAGCTGGGCCCTCTGGGGCTCGGGGGCGGGGCTCTTCAAGTGGGGTCAGCACCAGGGTCACGGCGAGGGTGAGGGTCTCCTCCCCCCTCCTCTAGTAATGTGTGTGTATTCACCAGTTTTACCATTGTCATTATTGTTTGCTTATTTTATATTTGTGAAGTAATTATGTCCTAAAATTGACATAGAATATGACTGTATACTTTAACAAATAATAATAAGGAGACCACACATGTTATACCAACACCCAGATCAAGAAATAGAGCTTTGCAGCAACCAGAGGCCCTCGAGCCTGTGGGTCCCTTCCCAACGCAAGGCTCTCTCTGCTAGCGGTGCCTGCTGTGTTGCCTTTGGGTGCCTAATTTCCTTGCCTTTTCTTTTTTAAGTGTTGCTACCTAAGTTTGCATGTCTAAATACTTTAATTTTTGTCTATATTCAACACTGTGTTTATTCTTTTGCATCTTCAACAATTTATGCTTGTGAGATTCATCCACATTGGTGCATGTAGCTACAGTTCTTTCATTTTCATTTGGCTTAGTTTCTTGAATTTAATGTCATTCACTTTTTTTTTATTAGATAATACTCTCAAAGGGCACAAAATCAAAAGAGACTTTAAAACATAATAAGATGTCTCTCTTCCACCCTCTGCCTCCAGACATTCTGTTGCTTTCCATCAAGGGCAATCGATGTTTTGTGTTTATCTTTCTGGGGCGCTTTTTAGAGATTGGTGGTTCCGAGACCTTGTCAGGGCTGGAGATGCTGCTGCGTAGGGAGCCTGGGGGGATGACTCTCACACAGTGATGGGATGTGTTACAGAAGAAGAATGCTGATAAACCCTTGCCAGGCGAGCTTGCAGCACCCTTTCCTGAACTGGCAAAATTCTGAACAACAAAGCAAAATGAGACTAAGAAAGAGGGAGTCTGGGAGGAAGGAGTCTCAATGGTCATTTGTCCCAGGAATAGGCGGCTGTGGCCGCTGGGAGCAGGGCTGCTGATCTGCAGAGAGGCCACAGCCCTCAGAGCGCATTGTGGACCGGCAGGGGTTGGGGGTGGAGGGGGTTGTGAGGAAAATAGTGGCATCCATCATCCTCAGGGGGTGGGCTGTGGGGCAGGCAGTGAGTCACCCATCCTGACCGCCTTGTTCAGCCCCCTGGTCAGCAAGGAGAAGATATTTTATAACTGTTCACATTTCTGACAGAGGGGGCAAGAGGAGGTAGAGTGTCCTTGCTCAGCTTGCGAGCAGTCCGAGACCTGCAGGGACAGTGGGCAGCGCAGTCTGAGCACTGTGGAGTGGGGCGGACGTGGGGGGTGGGGACGGGGGACACGGTCACAGACTCACCACCAGTGGGTGCAGAGCTGCCGGCCTGCTCCGAGAGCGGTGCAGTCCAAGCAAGCGGAGTGACAGCAGGGAGCCCGGAGACCTGAGCCCTGGGTCTGGGGACACAGTACGTATAGGCAACACCTTGAAAGATGGAAAATGTGTGACTCCAAAAAAAGAATGGATTTGGAGCCGAGGTATCGCCTTCTTCACAGCTCAGCCAGGGGAAGCGTTGGCATCCTAGGGCGGAAGTGGTCGTGCTCTGCAGGCCCCAGGTGGCCTGTTCTGGTGCTTTGGGCCACCAGGGCGGTGGGGCCCTTGGCGCCCTTCCTCCCACTCCCTCTCACTGGGTACTGGTTCCGCTCCTTTTTCTGAACAGGAGGACCAGGCACCCCCGAGGCCCCCACTCCCTGAGCTCTACAGCCCCGAGGACCAGCCCCCGGCCGTGCCACCTCTGCCCAGGGAGGCCACCGTCATCCGGCACACCTCAGTGAGGGGCCTCAAGCGGCAGTCGGACGAGAGGAAGCGGGACCGGGAGCAGGGGCAGTGTGTGAACGGGGACTCGAGGGTGAGCAGGGAGGACCCAGGGTCACCCCGTGAGTGGGGAGAGGGACGGCGGCAGGGGGCTGGGCAGGTGTGACAGCCCAGACTGTGCCCACAGGTGGAGCTCCGGTCATACGTTAGTGAGCCTGAGCTGACGACTTTCAGTGGGGACGTGGCCCAGCCCTCCTTGGGACTTGTGGGCTCTGACAGCAGGTACCAGACGCTGCCAGGCAGAGGTAAGGCAGCACTCCCCGTGGATGCTTTCTGGGAAACCCCCTTCCCGCCCCCCCCCCCCCCGCCCGCCCCTGTACTACCAACCACTGCTCTCCAACCCTTACCAACCCTCACTTGGTACCTTGCACCCTTCCGCCTGAGCTTTGGGCCGTAGGCAGCAGCTGTCAAGGGCTCCAGGGAGGGCCCACCCCTCCTTTCTCTGGCCCAGATCCTGGTTCTCTTTCTCCTTCTTACAGCTGCTCCTGGAAGCAATGGTAACAGCAGTTACTATAAAGCTGGGCACTGTCACATTAAGCACTGTATAATCACTTAGTTAATATTCATAATAATCCTATGAGGAAAGTACTATTATCTCTGTTTCAGAGATAAGGAAACTCAGAGAAATTAAGGAACTTGCTAATTAGCTAATGACTGATGGAGCCAGAATCTCCTCCCAGTGTTCCGGCCCCAGAGCCGCCGGCTGGGGTATTGGGCGCCGGCATCCGCATGGCCATCTGGGGCCTTCGGGGGACTCTTTCCTCTTCTGTGTCACTCTAAGACTCAATGAGTCCTTTCTTTAAAGAAGCACACTTCTCCCTGGCTGGTGTGGCTCAGTGGACTGAGCACTGGCCTGTGAACCAGAGGGTGGCAGGTTCAATTCCCAGTCAGGACCCATGTCTGGGTTGCAGGCCAGGTCTCCAGTAGGGGGCGTGCAAAAGGCAACCACACATTGATGTTTCTCTCCCTCTCTTTCTCCTTCCCTTCCTCTCTAAGAAAAAAATCTTCTAAAAAAAAGAAGCAGCAGCACACTTTTCTCTTCAATTGGGCCTTCTCTCTGCCCACCCTTCTCCCTTCAAGACAGGGATAGGCACAGACTTAGGCCCCTAAGCTCACGGTCCCCCATTTTCCCCATAGCCAGACCACCCTCAGAGAGCTCTATCAAGGGAGGCCTGCAATGTCCTGCTGCCTCATTTGTTTCTCCTGTCTGCTGCTGGAGGTAGACAGTCAAGTGCTGTCCCCACCTGGGCCAGGTGGCCACACAGCCGTGGTTCCAGCACGTGTGGAGTTGTGTGACTCCCAGCTCACCACTGTCTGGGTTTGCTGGGGCCTGAGCATGTCCCCACAGGGTGTGGCTCTGGGGCCACAGTAACTCTTGGCACAGTGCGAGAAGGCCCTGTCCCTTTCATTTATTACGGCCTACATGTGCTTATCAGTGGCAGTACTGGTGGCAGTTCTTTGTTGCTTAGGATTCTCTGGACATTGTAGGACACTCATCATTCTCTTGCCCATGTGCTAAAAGCTTGTGGTGTCCTCAGTCAGCGGGATGCCCTTTCCCAGATGTCAAGGACCACCTCTGATAAGAACTGCTGCCCGTGGAGAAAGCGTAGTCTGTGGCACCAGCCAGCCATGGTGAGGTGACTCCTTAAAGCCACAGGACCCAGACATGGGAAGCACATGGTCAACGATGCTCCTACCATGTGACCACAGACAAATTTCTTAATCTCTTAGGTTGTGCACCTCTACAATGGTCAAGTAACGCTTACTTTGTAGGGCCAGGGAGACAGAATCTAACAGTGCCTGCCCTAGTAAGTGCTCACTAAACAGTGCCTTCTTCTTTCTCTTCATTTCACTCATGTCTCCCGTCAGTCAACCAGGCATTGTTGAATTTGCAGTCTGGTTAGAGAGGTATGTTGATGCTCTGGTCAGTAACCAGTGAATATACTGAGGAATCTCGGGGTTGCTGATTCTTCCTGGGGCATTTCAGGAGCCTCCACACAGGCAGGCTCTCCAGGGGGCCATGCAGGATGCCCGAGAGTCCATCAGGAGACAGGGTTGATGGCTGCTCGCACCACCCCATCCTGTCCGTCTGCCCAGCAGCCCCGGCCTTCGGCTCATGAGGGAAGACTAGGGGAGTCCACAGGTCTTTAGGGACACCGTCCCTGACGGGGGAGAGGGCTCCACTGGGCTGGCCCCTCATCTTCTACCTGGGGCCTTGCTCTTCCAGGCCCCAGGGAGGAAGAAGAATGGATTGCAGGCTGAGCCCCTGTGGTCCCTTCATGACAGGGGGAGGTGATTAGGGAGGGGCTGGTGGCCTGTGCCAGTCACCACACAGGGTCCTGCATTTCTCTTTCCTCACTCAGGGCTCTCGGGGTCCACATCAAGGCTCCAGCAGTCGTCCACCATTGCTCCCTACGTCACCCTCCGGAGGGGTCTGAATGCCGAAAGCAGCAAGATGACCTTCCCTGTGAGTGGCCTTGAGAAGCGGTCGAGGAGCTCGGTGCTCCCTCACGCACAGAGGGACGGGCTCTAAGATGCATGGTGACTGGCGATCCTGTGAGCCCCGGGGATGGCCTCTGAGGTGCTCTCAGCCCCTCCCGAGCTCAGCGTTCCTGTCACCGTGTGCTCAGCGATGTCTTCCCCCCTCCCCACCAAGGGGGCATCACACTGCCCTTTCCATTTCCTGAGGAGCGCCCCTTCCCGCCTTTCTCTCCAGCCTGTCGGGCTCAGAGGAGGGAGCCCAGGAAGTCTGCACCCTGAGTTCGGACTGCACCACGTGCTGCGTGTGTGCCTGACTGGACAGGCCAGGGGATCAGTGTCTGCATCTGCAGAATGGGGTGCTGCCTAGGGAGCCCGTGAGGGCCAGGGGTATCATGTATCATGTCTGTGAGTTAGTGTAGATGAAGTGGTTCTCTGTGGCTGAGAAGAGTCCAGCTGGATAGAGTGTGTGTGTGTGTGTGTGTGAGAGAGAGAGAGAGAGAGAGAGAGAGAGAGAGAGAGGCCGACAAAGAACAGGAATGAAGCCGGCAGCATGGCTGCCCTCTGCTCCCAGCCCAGCTGCTCCGTCTCTCGCCCGCTTCCTCCTCAGAGACCCAAGAGTGCCTTGGAGCGCCTGTACTCAGGGGACCACCAGCGAAGCAAGATGAGTGCGGAGGAGCAGCTGGAGCGCATGAAGCGGCACCAGAAGGCCCTGGTCCGGGAGCGCAAGAGGACGCTGAGCCAAGGAGAGAGGACGAGCCTGCCCTCATCTCGCTACCTCAGCCACCCGCTCCCCGGAGATCTCGGCTCAGTATGTTAGGAGGGTCCAGGCAGGTGGGGCTGGGACAGGGAGCGGAGCTTCCCCGCGTCCCCCAAACACAGGCTCGTCACAGCCCTGAGAGAGAGTGGGCTGTTGACCTGGATGGTTCAGAGCACACCTCATGGGTGCCCAGGCCAGAGGGTGACTGGGAGGCAGAGCTGGAGTGAGGATGTCACTGCAGGAGTCTAGGAGCCTGAGGAAGTGTCCAGTCAGTTCTCTGAGCCGAGCTTCAAAGAGGCCTTAGTAGACATTTGGAGTCCCTCAGCTGAGTCAAGGACTTGGGAATATGTACAGGGTTCCAGGATTCAAGGATGGAGGAGGAAGATGGTGATGTGATTTGATGAGGAGGTGCACAAGCCCACCAGCCTCCCAAACTTCCAAGCAGATGCCCCATGGGGCAACTGAGCACAGGGTCATGCTCCCCAACTCAGGGCTGTGGTTTCCCATCGCGAGTGGTGCTCACTGGCCTCATGGTGCCCCAGGAAAGCCAGGGAATTTGTGCTTCCCCCTGGTGGTGCTCCCAGGCACTGCGCCCCACCCACAGTCGCCTTAGGTCCCTTTTGGATACATCCCATTTGACTTTCCCCAAGGCCTCTAGCCCGGCTGCTCTTTCCCTAATTCATTGCACAAGCTCTTTTGCTTTTAGTGTTACCGCTCATTGCCTCTCTAATCCTGCCTGATTGTGTTTACAGAAGCTTCTAATTTGCATTGAACATTCTCTAACTGGCCTGTGCTCTTTGTTACCAGGCTTATCATAGCAGCTCTCGTCTCGTAGCCTAGTGAGCACTCCCATGTGTGGCTCCCCTTTCCGCTGCCCACTTCACACAGGCCTACTCACTTGTAACTCACTCACCCCAAGCTGCCCCGAGAGACTGAGCCGACCCGCCGCCTGAGGGCCGCGGTCACTGGCAGAGGTCTGGGCATGAGGAACTTCTCGAAGTCCATGTCTCACATCTGGACAGTGGACATGGAGTTCAGAGGTTGTACATTTGAATAAATTCTATCAAGTCTAACGTGGTTTGGTTTTAATTCCTTCAGTTCCATCGCAGAATTCCTTACAGAAAACTTTTTGTGTTTTTAGTATTTAATAACTTGAACAGACAACAAGACATATTACGTTTCTGTCTTCAGAGGGCCTCTCCGCAGTCGTTAGCTCGGACACCCGAGGGCCAAGGCCCAGGACACTCACATCCTGAAAAGCTGCAAAGCCAGTAACTTTTAAACTTTATCAGCAAATGCCATGTGGGGTGACACTGACCTTTTACTACCGGATGTCTCAAATGTAGAAAGGTTAACTAAAAGTCGTAACTTGAATACCTTGTAATTTTTCTCTAAAAAAAAGGAAAGACTTGTTGTGGGTCTCTGTATCAGCGCCAATAAACGTGTTGCTTAATGACAGTGGATTGGCGTGGTTCTTCCCCAGGGCACACCGCAGAGCCTAGCGACCTCTTCTGTTTGTGGAAACAATCAGGCTGGCTTTAAACGAGGGCTTCTCTCTCTACCTGGGGCACATGTGAGCGTGTAAAAATGTGCTTTTTCCTTGTGAATCATTAAATTAATTTTTCACCACTGAGATGTCAACTGCCTAATCCTTTCATACTGTGATTGGAAACCTAAGAGCGATTCTGTTGGCTCGGAATCAGGCCTGAGAGCTTGTGCATGAATGGGTGAAATGTGCTGACAATGGCTGTGGGTCTGGGGCTTTGGCTGGGATCTGAAGGGTCATTAAAAGCAATCACGACCGCCTGGGGCTCTGTGAGGTGCATGGCGTGGGAGGGAGGAGGTGGCCTGGGCTGGAGCAGCATCTGGCTTCTGCTCAAGAGAAGGGAGGTTTTGAGCCTGTTCCCTCCTCCCAGGACCTGCCCAGAGTCTAAGGCCCCTGGGGTGCGGGCCGGACAGCTGATTAGGAGGGCTGCCTCAGCGTCACACAGTTGTGCTTGGATCTTAAAATGGCCAGTTAGACTTTCCCCTGTGAGGAGACACTTGTTAAAAGGCTGATACTGAGCTACAGCCTTGAAAATGTTGCCTGAGTATATTAGCATTTCAGTTTTACATGGTTTTGTTTGTTTTCGAACTTAAACTTTTGCCCCAAATCAATGCTGTGATACGCAGCAGTTCATCTGCCTCACTGGCCCCAAGCTCCTCCTGCTTGGACCTCCCCAGCCCCGCTGTGGGTGCAATAGGCCCACCCCTGAATGGATCCTGTTGGGAGCACCCATTCCAGAGGCTCTCGGCTATTCCACTTGCTTACCAGGGCCTCAAAGGGCTCGTTTCTTACATTATTTCTGAGCTGGGACATATGGCTCCTGAATAGAAAGCCTTCCATGACCATGGGCAGCAGAAGGGGCAAATCCCTTCTCCAGGGTTCTCCCAGGTTGTTTTGGGGTCACCCTTTTGGACCTGGGAGCCTCCTGTATCCCTGGGGACCGTTGTGAGTCTAAAGTCATGATTGTTCAGCCTGTGCCCTGGGGATGCATGTTGGAACCCTCGGGGGACCTTGATCAGAAAGAAAGGAGCAGTCTGGAGTCAGGCCATAGAAAAGCGGGCAGCGGCCTCATTCTCTGTTCTCCAACTCTCAGAGAGTTACAGCATACAGCAGGGACTGTCCGTGTCATAAAGCTGCGCTGCCTTATTGTAGAGATGACGAGGCTGAGCCCCGTGGTCACGGAGCTCTTCCCTGATGGGTCACAGGCCCATTTTCCCAAGGACCCCAGGGCCTGCAAGACCATTCGGAAGGGGACCAGTGTGGCTCCCGCAGAAGTCAGGAAGTGACGACATTTAACCCTCTTGTTCTGTTGCCAGTGGAAGCGTGAGCAGGACTTTGACCTGCAGTTGCTGGACCGCGTCGTGCAAGGGGAGAGAAAGGACGAGGAGGATGGCTGGTTGAAAGTACGGGCCATGCCCGTCACTGAGCTGGACCTGGAACCGCAAGACTATGACTTGGACATCAGCAGAGAGGTGAGGGCAGGGGCTTCCCTCGTGCTCCCCCAGGAGGCGTGGCCTTCAGTCTCCCAGCCTGACCCACCCTCCCGGCGGCACTGGGGGTGTTGTCCTCAGTGGGGACAAGGCTCAGCTTCAGTTTGGCCCAGGAAATAGGATAGATAGTAGGTTGAGTCAATAAAAGGAGTCCAGGGTTTTGACGGCAGGTTCAAATCTAGCTCTCTATAATTTGGGGCATTTAATGCCTCTGTGCCTCAGTTTTCTCAATGGTAAAGTGAGCTGTGATGAGGATTAACTGACTCTGCTTGCTGCCCAGAGGATCAACAATGATCAGAAGGCCATGAGCTCAGAGCCTGGTGTGTAACAGGCATGCGATGTGGTAGTTATGGTTAGGAAGTGTTGCTTGCAAAACCTGGGACTGGCTTTGCAACTGGCTGCTCAGGCCAACTTGAGCAAACAGACTTGGGGGAAACAGCAGGTTTGAAAAAGCACAGGTGAAATTTCCAGCCACTGCAGAGGCTAGGAGACCTGCATAGTACTAGTCTGCATTCTTCTGGCGCCCTCTAGTGGCTCAAATGCATCATGACCGGGAAGCCTGGGAAAGCAGGTAACCCCTGGATCTCTCTCTCTTGTCATCAGGCATATCTCTACCCAGGAGAAGAGAAAGGGAATCAGGGGGTGACAGACGCAGAGTCTTCAAGACATAGGGTGGTCTCCTGTGGCCTCTATTGTGTCATTTGTAAGCTCTTTAGGGCAGAGTTTAATAGTTGTTTGATTCACTTTTGTCTCCCAAACACTGAGCCAGCACATAGTACATGCTCTGCAAATATTTGCTGAATAATGACAACTCTCTTAAATGAAACACAGCAGCCCGCAGATATTCCAAAAACGTACATGAGGACAGGCCAGCCCTGAAATTGCATGAGAGGAATGCTCACACCATGTGCAGGATGGATTTAGCAGTGTGGGGGCAAATGAACACTTCTACAGGAGGAGTTCTGGGGTCGGCTGGGGCTCCAGGGGTTAATGAGTCCTCAGATCTTTTGCTCTGGCACCCCCAAAAATGTCTGTGCTTTCTCAGATTCACAAAAGAAGCTTCTGCACTGGCAGTGAAAGTGTGTTTTATAGTGTCCTAATTGGCCTGCCAGCCAGGGGAAAAGTCCTTGCTTATCTCTAACCTAAATCCCTCTTGCTACAATGTAATCTACTTCCTTCCTCTGGATCTGCCCTCATTGGAAACAAGAGACTAGAGCTTATTTCTTGCCATCTTTCCCCAGAATGAAAGGGCTGCATGGGCTTAAATTCAAGTCCAGATTTGCCCTGGGATTGGATTTAGCTTGTTTTTGGACGTTTCAGCCAATCCCATTCTAATGTGCTGTTTTAGTTCAAGGAGGAAAAAAAATCCCCAGGGTGTACCGAAGTTGCCTCTCCCAGGCGAGATTTCCCAAGCTGAGGTTGCTACTGGGTTCGTGTGAAAGACCAGTGGGCAGGAGTCAGGCCGTTTTCCTCTAGAGAGACAGAAGTGTGGCTGCCCCTGTCTGGGTCAGAGGAGCTTTCCTAAAGCACTGTCCGCTCAGCCATCCCTCCTTGCACCTACCCATCCATCCAGCACCCATCGAAGTCATATTTGCTAGGGACCTACTACATGCCTGGTCCTTGCACAGACAGTGAGGAGAGAGACAGACAACAGGAGGGAGTAACAGGGGCAGGGTTCAGGGAAGGCTTCTTGAGGTGAGGTTGGAAAGATGAGCAGAGTCAATGGAGCTGAAGGAGAGCATCCCAGGCAGAGGAAAGTGCAGGAGGAGGCACCACATAGTGGGTCCACATGGCTGGAGAGGCCGGCAGGGGTCTGGTCACAACGAGGGTGCACTAAGGCTGATCACTTCTATCCTGAGGGCTTCTAGTCCAGTGGTGTGCCTCCCCCTTCCCACCCCTCCCTGTAGGAGGTTGCTTGGTGTAGTGGAAAGAGCATGGTTTTGGAGTCAGGCCCGGGTGCTGACCCGGACTCTGCTGTGGACTGCCATCGTGATCGGAGCAAGTCTCCTCACCTCTGTGGGCAGCATGTGCTTCTCGTGGCAGGGGACGGGGTGTGGGAGCCAGACCCACACCAAATATCTGACCTGCCCACCCCAACCCGGCCTCCTGGTCCTCTCCTCAGCTGTCTAAACCAGAGAAGGTCTCTATCCCTGAGCGTTATGTGGAGCTGGATCCCGAAGAGCCGCCCAGCCTGGAGGAGCTGCAGGCGCGGTACCGCAAAGCCGAGAAGATCCGCAACATTCTCGCCCGGTCCAGGTCAGCCCCGCTGCTGCCCCGTCCTGATGGCCCACCACGCCTGACCCCACGGGTATCTCGGTTGGGCGGGCCCTGTGCCAGGCTGGCTAGGGTGCGTGTTTCACCAGCTTCCTCCTCGTTGGAAAGGTCAGGCTGGCACTCAGCATGTCACCAGCAGGTCACTGGGGAGGCTTGCCTAGATCACCCAGGAAGTCTGAAACATAGAAGGCCTGTCCTGTGTCCCAGAACCCTGGCAAGTGTGGGGAGTGGAGCCAGGCATGGGGGTGACCTGGGCACAGTTGGGGCTCCCAGTGTTAGGGCTCGTGTTCCCTCACACAGACCTGTAGACCAGAGCTGGGGGCCCCGCCTTGTCCTGAGGTGCCAGAGGCCTTTCCCACTTCCCTAGAGGCTGGGACAGGGCCCTGAGAAGTAGCTGCCCTGTCCCCTCAGCTTCCATAGCCTCAGAACGTAAACCTGGTGTCTGACGGCCTCCCTCTCAGAGCCATTGCACGTCTGGATTTAGCAGAGCCCAGCGCACCTGAGTTCTGTGATTCCCCCAAGGAAGAACAGAGCTCTGGTTTTGGCGGGTTATTTGGGGAGAAACACGCACACTTTTGTCTAGAGAGAAAGTGTACTGTTTTTATCAGTGCCCCTAAAAGGATGAGATTCCCCCAGGCTGGGAGACCCCCCTCTCCTGGGGCGAGTGGCGGGGCGGTGAGGGCCCACCACCTGCCTTTGCCGTCCTGCAGCATGTGCAACCTGCAGCCGACCTCCGGCCAGGACCGCAACAGTGTGGCCGACCTGGACACACAGCTGCAGGAGCAGGAGCGCATCATCAACATCTCCTACGCTCTGGCCTCCGAGGCCTCCCAGCGCAGCAAGCAGGTGGCAGGTGAGGCCTTGGGACCCAGGTCCTGCTTGCCGCCCCTTGAGGCTCAGGGTCCAGCCAAGTCCATCAGGGAGTCCTCAGAATACTGGGTGTCAGGTGTGGCGGTCGAGGGCTGGCCGCGTGTCCCGTTGAGTTAGGCGTGGTGGTTGAGGGCTGGTGGTGTGTCCTGTTGTGCCGTGAGCACCTCAGGGCTCGGAAGATGACGCAGGGCATGCTGGGTAGAGGGGGACCTGGAGCTCAGGAGTGTCAGAGGACAGAGGCCCAGGAGAGGGGTACCTTAGCTCATTCTACTTTTTAAAAAGATTTTATTTATTTACTTTTAGAGAGGGGGAAAGAGAGAGACATAAACATCAATAGGGGAGAGTTACATCGATTGGTTGCCTCCCACACACCCCCAACTGGGGACCTGGCCACAACATAGGCACGTGCCCTGACTGGGAACCGAACCTGCGGCCTTGTGGTTTGCAGGCTGGAATTCAATCCACTGAGCCACACTGGCCAGGGCTTTCCAGCTCATTCTTAAATATGGGAGTGATGCTGCTCTTTCAGCTTTCCCAGAGACTGTGGATTAAGAATGGGTTTTTCAGGACCCAGAGCCAAGGGGCCAAGGCTAAGGTTCCTAGCCTCATAAAGAAGGGAGCAGGAAAGCTGTGGGTGCTTAGATTTCTTGCTGGGGCAGGGCAGAATGGGGCCTTCTAGTCCTCCCTGGGACCCCTGCTCCGGACCCCTGCTCTGTTCCTCAAATCAAAGCCACCATTCACTTTAGAGTGACCTCAGAAAGCAGAACTTGGAAAGTAGGACTTTGCTGACTAGTGGGGAACAGATCACACCATGGAGGGTGGGTGTGCACCTGTGCCTAAAGGGCGTGCGCATGTGTAAAAAGGCTTTCTCTCTTAGCCAGGAAAGAGACTCCTTCCTCCTCCTGCCGCCACCACTCCCCTGCCTGTGCGTGTGCTCATGGCTCATCTAGTGCTGCTGCGTCTCCCCACCCAGAGGCCACTGTGTGGCTGGGTGTGGCCTTGGCAGGGGTACTCTGAGCCTTCTAGAGATGGGGTGGTTATAGAGCCTGGAGTGGTGGCACAGACCCCACCAGTCCTCCAGCCCTGGCCAAAGGGTCTAGAAGTGACCAAGGGTGGGGCCTGCAGGGCCCTGAGGAGAGTGGCCCTGGGGCATCTGCTCTGGGGAGCAAAGCTTTAATGGTGCCTTGGGAAGCCACTGGAGGGACCAAGATCTCAGTGGGAGCCTGTTCTCTGTCCCTGTGCCCTGACCCCGAACAGAGTTCCTGATACCTATGCCATCCTGACCCCATTTGGGGACACACTGAGTGAGCTGAGAGGTGGTCGGTGTGGTAGCCTGTGGGAGGGAGGGGAGCCAGTAGATGGCTGACCCAGACCCTCCTCCTATGACCCTGGGGGTTCCCTGTGTCCCACCTCAGCAGTTTCGAACTCCTCCCCGTGTTGAGGGTCCCAGTGGAGGAAGTCCCCCACTGGAAGTGCCCTCCTCTCCAGCGTGTGCTTGCTATGTGGATCTACCGCCGCCCCCACCCCGCCACCGCTTCCTCACCACCAGCTGGCCCCAAATCTAACTAACACCCGGTCACTCAGGGCCTCCCTCACCTCCCGCTGAGTGGCCACCTTTGCTGCAGCCTTTTGTCCCTCTTGCTCCCTCTCCCCATCTCAGAGGCATAGCTGGGATCTGCAGGTCAGTCCCAGCCAGGCCCCGTGGATGTGCCCGCCCCACCCCCCCTTGGCCAAGCCCAGGCCATGAATAGTGGGCAGTGGGGCTGAGCCACCACAGTCCCGCCAAGTGGGGCGTCTGGTGCTGTGGGGGCAGACGAGGAGCCTAACACACCGCTTGGTTCCTGTGTGCCCGTCTAGCGCAGCAGCTGGCCCTCCTCCCGCCTAAAGCCCCCCTGTCCTCCAGGACGGTGCCACCCTACCCCCCCTTAAGCAACGGACTCCACTACACCTTTGTCTAACACCTTTCAAGTAAGAGCCTCCATCTGGCGTGCCCCTCACCTAGCGCTGAGCATGCCCCCGCCTGGCCCACCCTGCTGCTGACGTGATTGCTGTGCCTCCTGCTGATGCTTCCTTCCTTCTGCAAAGCGGCTGCTGGGGAGACCTCCCTGGACCTTCCTCTCCCTGGTAGGGGGAGGCGGGGACTGATGCTTCTTGGAAACTCCATCCTTAGTGACTCCAATACAACAGAGACTGTAAGATCCAAGATCCCACTCCCACCCGCTTCTGCACCCCTGCCTTCCTGCAGGCCGGAGAGTGCCCCAAGGGACCAGTGCAGACCAGCCAGCCAGTCAGGGGTAGGGGTACCGGGAACACTTGGAAAGAAGAGTTAAATCTTGGCCACTCTGGGCTTTGGCCAAAGAAATTGCAAAACTGGAAGACTGGAAAAAGTTTAGTTTACAGATGAGGAAAGTGGGGCCTAGTGAGGGGATGGGGGCTCACGCCAGGTCACACAGAACTGGTGTCTGAGCAGAGCCGAGGACCGCCCTTTCAGTCATCTGAGTACCTCAGGGTGGAGAGAAGGGCAGCTTCTGGGGGACGCTGCCCAGGACTATGTGAAATGGGGCCTCTGTTCAGAAGGTTCCGGTACCACCCCTTCTGAGTTCTCACCATGGGAGCCCTTAGTGATGAGAGGCAGTGTGGGCTAGAGAAGCAGCCATAGGCCTGGAGTCGGAAGGCTGGGGGTCTGGTCCAGTCTTTGGTGAGTGGCCCCTGAGCCCATTTGCCTCACCTGGACAGGGAGGGGTCAGGCTGGAAGCCTCAGCAATCTGTGCCCTAACTCTCCATCTCACCCCCATTCCGTAGGGTTCCCCTTCTCCCCCCTTGATGTGGACTTACAGTTAACCTGGCTGAGTCCCTGTGATGCTCCAGCCACTGTGCTGAGCATCTTCTTCAATCCACACAACAACCTATGTCGATACTCACCCCCATTTTACTGATGAGGAATCGGAGCTCAGAGAGCTTGAGGGACTTGCCCAAGGAGTTGCAGCTGTTAAGTGTCAGAGCCAGGGTTTGAACCCCTTCAGTGCCAGTCCAGAGCCTTTGCTCCCCTTCTGCACCCGTGGACTTATGTGGGTCACCCCCGGGGCTCCAGGTGTTTGGAGAACGAAGTGTGTGCATGGGGGCAGTGGGGGGCGGGCGGGGCATGGTTTTTGGCAGGTGTGCACCAGCCCGGGCACTCCCCCAGCTTCAGAGCGGAGTCAGCAGGACCCTGCCAGACTGAGGGTGGAAGGAAGAGGTCGGCCTCTCGGGCTGCACTCTCAGGAAGAATGGAGAACCCCAGGGAAATGCTCCAGCTGGGTCCGTTGTAGAGACCTGCTGGGGCCACCGTAGGGTGCGTGTTTTTCCTGGCGCTCTGAGTGCAGTGACACAGTCCAGGCCGGGGAGAGTCAGGGAGAAGCTCTCTTCCTTCCAGCGTTGGTGCCCCTGTGGCTGGGGTGTAAGCCTTCAGTGCTCTCGTCAGCATATCCACATTTCCTCTTACCCTCACTGAAGTCTCCTTAGGAAGCGGGTGTGATCACTCTGTTTTTAGATTACCGGAAGAAGGCTTGCTGGGGGGCGGGGGGCGGCTGAGAGAGTTACCCCACGTTGCTCAGAGAAGGACGGGAGGGCCGGAACTGAAACCCAGGGTTCTCCAATCAGGCCTTTCATTCTGTCAGAGCAGGCCCAGCGTGTTCGTGTGCTCGGGGCACTTCTGAGAAGCAGTAGTGGGGGGTGGGGGGTGGAGCCAAGCACCCGGAGTCCCGGAAGCCGAGGGTCCCCCAGCCGCCGCCGCATTGCCCGGCCCTCTGCTCCGCTGCTCTGTCTCTCAGTCCGCTGTTACATGTCACACGTGTGTGCAGACGTGCCCCCTGCCTGCTCCCCAGACGAGGGCAGGGGCCTGCCAGTTTCTCACTGTGTCCTGTGCTTTTTGCCAGCCCAGGCAGTGACTGACCCGTGACCCAGCGTGCGGAGGAGGAGTCTGGAGCCAGGGGTCCAGTGGAACCAGCTTCCTCCAAGAGAAGACGGACTTCTCTTCCCCCAACGAGTCCCCTTCCGGCTGAAGGGGGTGCCGGCTGGGGGAGGGAACAGCCCACCGGCTGCCGGTGTCCACCGCAGGCCTGGGCCCCCTCCCCACCTTGTTAGTTCAGACTCCTTTTTACATGTGACAAACGCACTTTTGATACACACTGTAAAATACTGACACTGTATTTTAGAATCAGAATATATTTTATAATGTTCACCTCAAGGGCTGAGTGGCTGGAGAGCTGAGGATGCAGGATTTGGGGCTGCACGTAGAAATTCAGGTACTGGCGGGTGGGGGGTGTGAGTGTGGGGAGAAAGGCAGGGCAAGTGGAGGCCAGTCCACAATCCGAGGACTCAGGTGAAGGTTGAATTTGAGAATGTGCTTCCAGTGGACTCCAGCGTTAGGGTCGTCGGCGCGCCTTCTCGGGGAAGAGGGGTCCCGTGGCTGCAGAGATCTCCTCGGCCAGCCTGAGGACCGGCTCTGCAGTGTGGAACTCCGCCAGGACAACCCGCGGAGCCCGAGTCTGTGCCTTGGCCCCTGGGTTTGGTTTCCGGGCAACAGTGTTCGAGGGCTTTGGCTCCCAACTCGACCGTGAGGTTCTCTCAGCGAAGGGCTCTTCTCAGAAAGACAAATGCAGTTGCTTTAATTTTAAAAAATACACATAGAAATATAGGAAAGATGAGAGGAAACACCTTTTGTTGTATCCTAAGCAATAAACTCCACACTGGGTGGCATCTACCTAAACCTGCTTGACTCCCCACTGGGCTGTGGTGGGGACCCAGGGGCCTTTGCCGCCTGCCTCTGGAGCGGTCCCAGGACTCGGTCTGGTGGCAAGACAACTGGCAGTGTGCCCTGCTGCCCCTGACGGCCAGCAGCCAGCGGGGCCAGGACGGCAGGACCTTGACTCGACTTCCAGCTCAAAAGGAGGGGGCAGCCAAGCTGGGCCCAGCGTCTGTGGCCCTTTATTCAATGAGCTCATGACATTCTGCATACGGAAAATGATGTTTAAAGGAAAACAACAACAACAAAAAACTCCATCGGGTGGAGCCACACTTTAGATGAAAATTTGTCTTTGACTATGGTTGGAAAAAAAAATCTTGAATATATTTAGAAGTTGCTGTCTATTTTTAACTAACTCCATATGCTGCCAGTATCAACTTCATGACATTTGCCAAAATAAGATTTTATTTTTGCCTTTATAAGATTTTGTTGGAAAAATGAAATGAATATTTTGCAAGAAAATGTTAATTTAAATAAAAGTGTAATGGTTTGCAAAAAAATGTGATGTACAGATTAAAATATTAACCTGATATACTTCCTGCTTCTTGCTGGCTATATTCTCATGAGTGGTCTGTGTTGGTTTTTTCCCCATTTCCTTGGAAAATCCCCACTGTTAGCTCTGATCCTGCTTGTGTTCACCTGTGAAAAGCTTCTGATGACAGTTCCTTGCCCCCTGAATGACTTCCAGGGCCTGGGGGCAGAAGGCCTGTGCTCCCAGGACCTCAGCAGCTGCTGAAGGTGGTCCCCACCCCCCACCCTGGTGCAGGAGCCCCCTGGCTGTGGACTCCGTGTGGGGCTGGTCTGGCAGGCAGACTGCAATCCAAGATAGCAGCAGGGACTCCACAGGCCTCCTTCCAGCCCACACGCCGCTGGCTCACTCCAATGAGGTGGGTTAGTGACGGACCATTGCAAACTGGATTTGTATTTAATTCATTTTGACGGGTGATATATGCTTAAAACAGAAGGCGAGAGGCCAGTTGAGTTCAGGGACGTGTGTGTTTCCAAGTCCGTTGTTATGGCAGTTTTTCTCTCTTGCCAAGAAGGGCACCCGAGGTTTAGAGTGACTTTCCAACTATTTAAACTGGGGAAAACAGATTCCAAGGCGATTTGAACAGAGGACACTGCTGCTTTTTTAGCTACTGATTTCTTTTTGAATTTTAAAGTAAAAAAAAAAAATGCTCTCCTGTTTTAAGCATTGCTTGGAGAGATCTCTGTAACAGAGGAATGGGGTTTGGGGAGAGGGGAATTCCTCCAGGACTGAGTGCAAAGGGGAAAAAGAACAGGCACAGGGCACAGTACCCCCCACGTAAGCCGGCTGTTGATGGGCATTTTCTCAGTGAAAACATGTCAGTGGTTTTCTTTCTGTTGGTCACACACACAGTCCTCTGTCAGAGGGAATATGGCGACTCGAACTGTTCTCTCCAGCTCCAGAAGGGAGGAGGCGTAGCCTCTTCTATAAGAAGCATGGCCCAAAGGTCAGTGTGCAGAGAGCATGAGAGGCCCCGGCTCCGATTCCGTGACGAGCACGTGCGGTTGGAGGAGGCATGCTCTGGCCGCAGCGCGCGTAAGCAGGAAGCGTGGCACAGCCCCCTCGAGAGAGCGCCTGTTACCTGAGGTAAGATGGGGCCATTTGGGAAAGTACTGGTTGACCAGGGACCCTGCAGGTGGGACAACTCAGGGAAAGTCCACGTGGCCAGCTTCACTTTAGAGGGGACCGCAGCACCTAAGTAACTGGAGTTGAGATGTGCACACGTGTGTGAGTGCCCATGAGGCGATGTGGCCGGGCTGATGGGGATGCTGACAGCAGGCCTTTCGTTTGCTGCCTGTCATCAGCTTTTCTGCCTGCCTTTGTATCTGGTTGTGGGGTGGAAATTGACCCCCTCCTTGGCTGTTTTCAGTTCAGCTGGGTTCTCCAGAATTTTCCTGGACATTGTAGGTTGCAGTCAAAGGCCGGGGAAGCGGCTCTCTGCCCGAGGTCAGCTTGGGGATGGAAGGTGTGGAGGGCGGAGTGGGTGCAGACCCTGACTCAGCGGGATAAGAGCCTATTTCAGGCTTTGGGTGTTTCCCCCAGTCTGTGGCACAGGACTCCATGGCAAGCCCGACTTTGTTCATACCAAGGGTGGGAAAGAAGTAGCAAATTATTTGTCTAATCTATAAATCGCATTTCTGAGACATGGCAGACAAATGCTGGGAGCCCGCTGCTTCTGATTCAGCATCAGATCCTGGTGAGGGACTTGTGAGGGACTTTGCCCGTGTGGGTCTCACACTGTTATGAAAAGAACAAAGCGACGAAGCTGGGGGGGTGTGAAAAATAGCAGTCCCTCCCGGCCCAGTAAACATGCCATTGCTTGGCCCCCTCCCCTCCAAAGGCGACGACCACTTTCATTGCTCTCGGAGCAAAGAAACCTTTCTTCAGAGTGAGTGGCGGGGTACAAAGGCAGAGCACAAAATGTGCGCACATCAGAGTGACTGCAATTCTGTTTGAACAGGCATATTGATTGGGTCTGACCCTGTTACATTTTTTCCCTATTATTTGAAAAGGTGCATCTAAGTGCAGTGAATTGAACCAGCAGAGCTGAACTTTCCATGAAAACTTCTTGAGGTATTTCTTTAGTTCAAAGCCTTTGAATTTTAAAGGGCATTTTTAATATGAGTCTGTTGAGTATTCTCTGTTGCGGCCCAAGAAGGGATGTTAAATGCAGATGAGGCTGGAGCACGGGGGTGGACTTGCCCACCTGGCAGAGGATTCGGGGCATGGTTAGAGGGTGAGGACCAGCTGGGAGGGGCTGAGCCCTCTGCTGTGGAACAGCACACACAGACCCTAAAAAGGACCTCTCTGAGCTCACAGGGTGGGCGGGGGGACAGCATACAGGACAGGAAAGGGGCTTCCCAGCTGAGCTTCTTGAAGCATTTTACATGGGAAGCTGGGAAGCACCTGCTAGGGGCTCTGTCAGGAGGACAAGGGTCTTGTCCTTGTGAATAAGGGGCTCCTTGCTTCCCAGTGGCTCACTGTCACACAGTGCTCAAGAATCGAGGAGTGAGCACTGTCCCCAGCCCCTGGGCTGACATCACTAATCTGCCACAGATGCTTTCCCACTGACCCCTGAGCCACGTTCCAGTCCTTGACTAATTTGACATCTTAAGACATTTTGCTAGTTGTGTGGTCCGCAGCAGTGGTCTCTCCTGCCATCCTGGCCCAGGGTCCTGGAATCACCCAAAAAGTCTCATTTTCCCCACACACAGTGGGGCTGTCCTGGTTCCCTGGAGGCACACGGCCCACCTGGACTGAGTTCTGGGCTCACTGTTGGTCCGAGTCCCTTTGGGCTTCCAGAGGCCTCTTGGATCTAGAAACCTCCTCCTTCTCAGACCCGGAATATGGGTTCAGAGGCCAAATCATCTCTGGGAGGAGCTGGAAAACCTGGGCATCTCAGCAAAGTCCTCTCCGTGTTCTTGCCCAGGCTCCAGCCTAGAAGACCAGTCTGGGGAGGTCAGAATAGGGCTAGAATCATGTAACAGTTCTCCAGGCATCGTCCCTGTCTGCACCAGCCCCACTGAGGCTCCTCCCACCTAGGTCTGGAGTCCCCAGCAGGGTTTCACGTATCTTCTGAATTTAGCTTTTTTGGCTATCACTTTCAGGACTCCTGGCTGCTGTGTTTCCTGGGGCCACACCAGCCAGGCGGGCACGTATGAGGTCCCAATGACAGGAGCAACTCAGGGTTCATGGCGTCTGCCCCCTGCTCACAGTGGGGGTCCTCTGCCAGGTTTCCTCTGGTCATGCCTGCATCTCCCTCGGCATATGTTAGTACATGAGCTCACAGTAGTCCTGTCAAGGTGAAGTTCTTCCACTTGTAGCTTCTTGGCGTTTTCTTGCAATGGAGACACTGCCCCTGTGCTCTGGGGAAACTCTCCTTGCCTCGCTTGCAGCCCTCTCCCCCCGCAGACCCTTCCAGAAGAGTGTTTCTCTGTGCAGAGTCCTCCCAGGCCAAGCCCAGGCTGCGGTCTGCACACACGTGGCAGAGCTTTCACTCCCTGGTTTGTGTCTTTGGGGCTCCAGAGCAGGGCTGTGCCTGCTGCTCTCATTTGCTCCAAGCAAACTTAGAGCAAACGAGAGTGGTTCTCTGTGGAGAACTACTTCCTTAGGCGTCTGCTGGGGTCCTCTCTCCTGGGGCTCAGAAACATTCTCTGTATCCCATTTCCCCTCCCTCAGTGACCCACACCACCACCCCGCCCCCTGCCCTTTCTATTATGTAGTAAACTGGCTCAAAACAGCTTATTCCCCATGATTCTGCAGCCTGGGCTTGGCTTAGCTGGGCAGGCCGGTCTCGTGCCCCATGTGGTGACAGGGGCTGGGATGTCGAGGTGGTTTCTGCATGCATGTGTCTGGCACCCCAGCTGGGATGGCTGATGAGCTGGGAGCTGGCTGGGCATTTCCGTCTTTCCACACAGCCTCTGCGTGTGGCTGCTTGGTCTTTCTTACGGCTTGAAGATCTCAGGTCAGTTGGACTTTTTACCTGAGCTGGCTTCCAAGGGCAACAGCTAACAGGCCTTTTGAAGAGCAGGTGTGGATTTGGCACAGGGTCGGGTCCTCTTCATTCTTTGACCAAGGCAAGACATAAGGTCAGCCACACAAAAGGGGAGGGGACAGGGCTCTACCTCGATGGGTGGAGGGGTGCGCACAGACAGGACAGGAAGGAATGGATGGTGGCCTTCCTTAGAGACTGTGCACCGCGAGACCTGTCCTTATTCTCCTATAGCCGCATAGGAGTGTTCCTATGAGACCCAGAGTGTTCCGCTCACTTTCTCTTCCCCGACAGCAGCCACCTGGGAGCCGCATGTTCTGGACTTAGCAGACTGGTCCCAAGTCTCCACTCGGAAAGGGATGGCCCAGCAGGGCCCTGAGGCCCACAGCTCGCTTGGCATGAGCGAGAAATCAACTTGGAGATGCTAGTATGTGCCCTGGGATTTTAGGTGTTATTTTTTTACCGTCACATAAGCAAGTTGTAGGTATTATTTTTCCCATATGACATAGGAGGACACTGAGGCGCGATGGTTCCAGGACTAGTAATTGCCCCTGCTGAGGGTGACAAACTCACAGGCCGCCTGAAGGCACCCAGGAGAGAGTGCCTAACAGGTGCCCAGGGTAGTGGGTGCTCAGTGAGTGGGAGCTGCCGTCACAGCTCTGACCCGACGGCGAGCACCACCCGGGATCCCGCAGAGAGGCCTCACTTGGGCACATTTGGCCGGCCATTGGTCCCTAGCCTTTGGGGCTCAGAAACCAGATTTGTCAGCCGCAAGAGTGGGGCTGTGTCTCTCGGCTATGATCACACTGACGAGGCTCAGGAGACACGTGGAGAAAACTGGGTGCGCACCTAACTGCCAGGACGTTCGTGCTCACCGGTCATGCTGAGTGCAGATGAGGCTGGGCGTCTTCCTTCCAAGGGGCCCAGTCTTCCCTGGGAGGTTGCCTGGCAGTCTTGGAAGCAAGGCAATCTGGGACAGTCTTGGTGTCACTGAGCAGCACCAGCCCAAGGA